TTAAGCATTGATTTGTAAAATAAATTGTAATATAAAAATATACATAAATATAGACTAAAACTGGTATTAAATATTTAGTCAGAAGCTTCAAAAGTGGTGAAGGAATCATTTCCGACCCCATAAATCATATATATTCTTGATCAGCATCAACAGCAGCATCGATTAAGCCATGTCCGGAGGAAAAATAAAATTTTCCAAATTTGGCCAAAAATTGAAAAAACGATAAGGGGTTACATCATTAAAATTGTCAAAAGTTGGCCTAAAATTTCAATTTCTAGAATTGGAAATTGAGTATGCAAATTTGTTAACCTAATAAACACTAGCAGTAAAACGCTTTCCGATTTGAATTTAATGCATTTCTGGCCAAGTTATGAGATTTTTAAGCATTGATTTGTAGTATAAATTGTCGTATAAAAATATACATAAGTATAGACTAAAACTGGTATTAAACCTTTAGTCAGGAGCTTCAAAAGTGGTGAAAGAGTTATTTCCGACCACATAAATCATATATACTCTTGATCAGCATCAACAGCAGCATCGATTAAGCCATGTCCGGAGGAAAAATAAAATTTTCCAAATTTGGCCAAAAATTGAAAAAACGATAAGGGGTTACATCATTAAAATTGTCAAAAATTGGCCTAAAATTTCAATTTCTAGAAGTGGAAATTGAGTATGCAAATTTGTTAACCTAATAAACACTAGCAGTAAACCGCTTTCCGATTTGAATTTAATGCATTTCTGGCCAAGTTATGAGATTTTTAAGCATTGATTTGTAGTATAAATTGTCGTATAAAAATATACATAAGTATAGACTAAAACTGGTATTAAACCTTTAGTCAGGAGCTTCAAAAGTGGTGAAGGAGTTATTTCCGACCACATAAATCATATATATTCTTGATCAGCATCAACAGCAGCATCGATTATTGCATTTTTGGCCGAGTTATGAGATTTTTAAGCATTGATTTGTAAAATAAATTGTAATATAAAAATATACATAAATAAAGACTAAAACTGGAATTAAACCTTTAGTCAGGAGCTTCAAAAGTCATTAAAATTGTAAAAAATTGGCCTAAAATTTCAATTTCTAGAATTGGAAATTGAGTATGCAAATTTGTTAACCTAATAAACACTAGCAGTAAAACGCTTTCCGATTTGAATTTAATGCATTTCTGACCAAGTTATGAGATTTTTAAGCATTGATTTGTAAAATAAATTGTAATATAAAAATATACATAAATATAGACTAAAACTGGTATTAAACCTTTAGTCAGGAGCTTCAAAAGTGGTGAAGGAATCATTTCCGACCCCATAAATCATATATATTCTTGATCAGCATCAACAGCAGCATCGATTATTACATTTTTGGCCGAGTTATGAGATTTTTAAGCATTGATTTGTAAAATAAATTGTAATATAAAAATATACATAAATATAGACTAAAACTGGTATTAAATATTTAGTCAGAAGCTTCAAAAGTGGTGAAGGAATCATTTCCGACCCCATAAATCATATATATTCTTGATCAGCATCAACAGCAGCATCGATTATTGCATTTTTGGCCGAGTTATGAGATTTTTAAGCATTGATTTGTAAAATAAATTGTAATATAAAAATATACATAAATATAGACTAAAACTGGTATTAAATATTTAGTCAGAAGCTTCAAAAGTGGTGAAGGAATCATTTCCGACCCCATAAATCATATATATTCTTGATCAGCATCAACAGCAGCATCGATTAAGCCATGTCCGGAGGAAAAATAAAATTTTCCAAATTTGGCCAAAAATTGAAAAAACGATAAGGGGTTACATCATTAAAATTGTCAAAAATTGGCCTAAAATTTCAATTTCTAGAATTGGAAATTGAGTATGCAAATTTGTTAACCTAATAAACACTAGCAGTAAAACGCTTTCCGATTTGAATTTAATGCATTTCTGACCAAGTTATGAGATTTTTAAGCATTGATTTGTAGTATAAATTGTCGTATAAAAATATACATAAGTATAGACTAAAACAGGTATTAAACCTTTAGTCAGGAGCTTCAAAAGTGGTGAAGGAATCATTTCCGACCCCATAAATCATATATATTCTTGATCAGCATCAACAGCAGCATCGATTATTACATTTTCGGCCGAGTTATGAGATTTTTAAGCATTGATTTGTAAAATAAATTGTAATATAAAAATATACATAAATATAGACTAAAACTGGTATTAAATATTTAGTCAGAAGCTTCAAAAGTGGTGAAGGAATCATTTCCGACCCCATAAATCATATATATTCTTGATCAGCATCAACAGCAGCATCGATTAAGCCATGTCCGGAGGAAAAATAAAATTTTCCAAATTTGGCCAAAAATTGAAAAAACGATAAGGGGTTACATCATTAAAATTGTCAAAAATTGGCCTAAAATTTCAATTTCTAGAATTGGAAATTGAGTATGCAAATTTGTTAACCTAATAAACACTAGCAGTAAAACGGTTTCCGATTTGAATTTAATGCATTTCTGGCCAAGTTATGAGCTTTATAAGCATTGATTTGTAGTATAAATTATCGTATAAAAATATACATAAGTATAGACTAAAACAGGTATTAAACCTTTAGTCAGGAGCTTCAAAGGTAGTGAAGGAGTTATTTCCGACCACATAAATCATATATATTCTTGATCAGCATCAACAGCAGCTTCGATTATTGCATTTTTGGCCGAGTTATGAGATTTTTAAGCATTGATTTGTAAAATAAATTGTAATATAAAAATATACATAAATATAGACTAAAACTGGTATTAAATATTTAGTCAGAAGCTTCAAAAGTGGTGAAGGAATCATTTCCGACCCCATAAATCATATATATTCTTGATCAGCATCAACAGCAGCATCGATTAAGCCATGTCCGGAGGAAAAATAAAATTTTCCAAATTTGGCCAAAAATTGAAAAAACGATAAGGGGTTACATCATTAAAATTGTCAAAAATTGGCCTAAAATTTCAATTTCTAGAATTGGAAATTGAGTATGCAAATTTGTTAACCTAATAAACACTAGCAGTAAAACGCTTTCCGATTTGAATTTAATGCATTTCTGGCCAAGTTATGAGATTTTTATGCATTGATTTGTTTAATAAAATGTGTTATAAAAATATACATAAATATAGACTAAAACTGGTATTAAACCTTTAGTCAGGAGCTTCAAAGGTAGTGAAGGAGTTATTTCCGACCCGATAAATCATATATATTCTTGATCAGCATCAACAGCAGCGTCGATTATTGCATTTTTGGCCAAGTTATGAGATTTTTAAGCATTGATTTGTAAAATAAATTGTAATATAAAAATTTACATAAATATAGACTAAAACTGGTATTAAACCTTTAGTCAGGAGCTTCAAAGGTTGTGAAGGAGTTATTTCCGACCACATAAATCATATATATTCTTGATCAGCATCAACAGCAGCATCGATTAAGCCATGTCCGGAGGAAAAATAAAATTTTCAAAATTTGGCCAAAAATTGAAAAAACGATAAGGGGTTACATCATTAAAATTGTCAAAAATTGGCCTAAAATTTCAATTTCTAGAATTGGAAATTGAGTATGCAAATTTGTTAACCTAATAAACACTAGCAGTAAAACGGTTTCCGATTTGAATTTAATGCATTTCTGGCCAAGTTATGAGCTTTATAAGCATTGATTTGTAGTATAAATTATCGTATAAAAATATACATAAGTATAGACTAAAACAGGTATTAAACCTTTAGTCAGGAGCTTCAAAGGTAGTGAAGGAGTTATTTCCGACCACATAAATCATATATATTCTTGATCAGCATCAACAGCAGCTTCGATTATTGCATTTTTGGCCGAGTTATGAGATTTTTAAGCATTGATTTGTAAAATAAATTGTAATATAAAAATATACATAAATATAGACTAAAACTGGTATTAAATATTTAGTCAGAAGCTTCAAAAGTGGTGAAGGAATCATTTCCGACCCCATAAATCATATATATTCTTGATCAGCATCAACAGCAGCATCGATTAAGCCATGTCCGGAGGAAAAATAAAATTTTCCAAATTTGGCCAAAAATTGAAAAAACGATAAGGGGTTACATCATTAAAATTGTCAAAAATTGGCCTAAAATTTCAATTTCTAGAATTGGAAATTGAGTATGCAAATTTGTTAACCTAATAAACACTAGCAGTAAAACGCTTTCCGATTTGAATTTAATGCATTTCTGGCCAAGTTATGAGATTTTTATGCATTGATTTGTTTAATAAAATGTGTTATAAAAATATACATAAATATAGACTAAAACTGGTATTAAACCTTTAGTCAGGAGCTTCAAAGGTAGTGAAGGAGTTATTTCCGACCCGATAAATCATATATATTCTTGATCAGCATCAACAGCAGCGTCGATTATTGCATTTTTGGCCAAGTTATGAGATTTTTAAGCATTGATTTGTAAAATAAATTGTAATATAAAAATATACATAAATATAGACTAAAACTGGAATTAAACCTTTAGTCAGAAGCTTCAAAAATAGTGAAGGAGTCATTTCCGACCCATAAGTCATATATATTCTTGATCAGCATCAACAGCAGCATCGAGTAAGCCATGTCCGGAGGAAAAATAAAATTTTCCAAATTTGGCCAAAAATTGAAAAAACGATAAGGGGTTACATCATTAAAATTGTCAAAAATTGGCCTAAAATTTCAATTTCTAGAATTGGAAATTGAGTATGCAAATTTGTTAACCTAATAAACACTAGCAGTAAAACGCTTTCCGATTTGAATTTAATGCATTTCTGGCCGAGTTATGAGATTTTTATGCATTGATTTGTTTAATAAAATGTGTTATAAAAATATACATAAATATAGACTAAAACTGGTATTAAACCTTTAGTCAGGAGCTTCAAAGGTAGTGAAGGAGTTATTTCCGACCCGATAAATCATATATAAATATTTATTTAATATTCGTAGAATACACTTGTTATTTTTTATTTTCTGTAGGTAGGTAGGAAGGTCAAAAAGCCAATGATTGCCAAGCGGCATAATAATAATTATATATTATAATTGAATCCAAAAAAATTCAACATTAAATAAAACATGTCCAACACAATATTCAACAATTCTTTTCAAACTGAGATAAATGCATATTTTCGTTTGATATACGATTTCGCATTCTATTAAAATTTTCATATAAGTAGGTGAATGACTTCAAAATACTGCTTTATGTAAAGTTCTAATAATAAAGCTAGTCAAAAAAATATATATTATATAAAGCTTCAAGATCACTTCGGTGCAGAAATCCTAAGATCAATATAAAAAATCACTAAAGCTCGTTGTGGCGGTTGTGCCTGTACTCCCTGGATATGTAAACGGTTAAGTCTTCGGGTAGCGTGCAACGATCCAACTCATGGGCGATGGCATAGTAACGCTTCCTGAGTATGTGAGCCACCTCCTTGGGCTGTCGATTTCTTGTAAATACACCTTTTTTGTTTCCACCAACGCGTGTTATAGCTAAAATAAATATAGACGTATTGATTTAAAACACAGATCCTTAGGTTTGAAACAAAAAACAACTCACTCTGCGCCGTCCGGAAATCGGCAAAGTTCCAAACAAACTCTCCAATGAACCACAGCTTCTCACGAAGGTCGTCGAAGGCCCTGAAGTGCTTGGAGAAGAGCTGCACCTGGTACTCTTCGGACCAAATGAAAGCCGGCAGCTTCAAAGCATTGAAATTAGAAGAAACCAAAGAACTTACTTGCCGAATCGAGCTACTTACCGAATGCATGCCTTCCATTGTATCTCCGCCATACTCGAACTGAATAACAGGCTTTCCGAACTTATCCCGCCAACTCTGGGCCTCTTTGGTCAGCAAATCGACAATCATGTCCGTGCGTCCCGAGTTCTGGTACCAGGAGTTGTAGCGGTTGAAGCCCACAATGTCCAGGAACTGCGCCAAATGACAGGTCGAAGGACTGGCATTTATGGCAGCCGTCAGAGGACGTCCCTGGGCAATGCTCTGCGTGTAGTTTACCAAGGCCCTGCAGAGTGCTTGATTAGAATAGTCCGTTAAATATCTGTGAGAGGTAATACCCACTCGAAATATTTAAGGGCTCCCTGCTTGGTGGAGCGCGGCTCATTGGCCACTGACCAGGCGACGACGCTCGGGTGGTTCCTGTCCCTGTGAATGAGCTGCTCCAGTGAGGACATGTGTTGCTCCAGTAGTTGCGGCTCAAAGATGTCGATGTTAACAGCGGGACACTCGTCGATAATCATGATACCCTGCTCGTCGGCGAACTGCATGGATTCCTCGGAGTAGGGATAGTGCGAGGTGCGATACGCATTTGCTCCGATCCACTGCAGCAAGTTGAAGTCACGGGCCAAAAGTGCATTATCCAGACCCTTGCCTCGTATCTGGAGTGGAGAAAACTTTAATGAACCCTCTTAGAAGTGATGTCCCCCTTTAAACTTACATCAGAGTCCTCATGACGGCCGAATCCCCGCAGGTAGATCGGTACTCCATTAAGCAGCAGGCTCTGATTGTTCCAGCTCAGAGTACGAATACCCACGGGCAAACGGTAGGCGTCCTGCAGAGCACTGCCATCCTCCTCCTTATTGCTGGCGATAAATAACTTAAACTGCAGATCATAAAGGTAGCCAGGATCGGGGTTCATTAGGTACGGCCACCAGGGCTTGGCATTGGGCACCAGCAGAGACCCGTTGTAAACCGCTCTATTGATCTGCTGGGCAACAACCAATCCCTCGCGGTCCCTCAACTCTACCATGAGATGCGTGGGCAAGATTTGACGATCCTTTGCCGCTTGGCTTGCATCCACCCACAGGCGGTAGTCTATGCGACCCATTTCGTCGCTACTGTACTGGGTGCTCACCTCCAAGTCGCTGATGTGGAGCAACGGTGTCGTGTATAGGTGCACACTTCTATGGATGCCCGCGTAGTTGAAGAAATCAAAGGTGTAGCTCTGGACGGGCACAGGGCCTTTGTCTGTGACTGCTTGGTAAACGGATCCCTGGGGAATGGTGCGGTTGCCCAGTCGATTGTCGCACATTACCGTGATCCTGTTCTCGCCGCCAAAGTCCAGCAATCCGGATATGTCAGCTTCGAAGGGCAAGTGGCCGATGGAGTGGCTAGTGGCATTCTTGCCGTTGATCCACACCAAAGCCGAGTAGTGGACGCTGCCGAACCGTAACCAGGTCCGGACGCTACGCTGCCAGAGGCGGGACACAAAAAACGTCCGCTCGTACCAAACAGTGCCCACATGATCCCTCAGGCTATCCGTTGTGGCTATATCGTTGTAGGATGCGGGCACAGGCATGGGTATCACCTTCCGTCCACTCATCCTCAGGCTATTAGCGAACCACTTCTCGCGAACGCCCTGAAGTGGATCCTTTGGGTTACTTTTCACCAGCCGCCACATGCCATCCAGGCTGCGCACCTCGCGCGTCTCCGACTCACGGGGATACAGCAGTCCCTTGGTAGGTGTCGGCTTCTTAATCTCTCCATACTCAAACAAAGGCCATTCTTTGTTGGCATCTAGGCTTTCGGGGATTCCCTCTCCCGTGGTGAAGACCTGCAGCAGGAAGAGTGGAAGGACCAGAAACCAGGTGAAGGAGGGCCCATGCCACCTCATTGTGAGACGGAATAACTGACTTTACGCGAGGAGCAATAGTAATTATTAATTTCAGGGAACAAAAGTTAATTAATTAGATTATTCGCCGGCTCTGATAAGAGCAATGTCAGTATGACCAGTTTGATATTTTTGAAAAGCCAAAATAAGTAGAAAATACCGTATGAAAATTAGTATTTTCGAAACAAGTTATTCATTTTTGCGCAAACGCCTCACGGTCCCACCGAAAAAGAAATCAACAAAAATTTCGCAGATATTTGTTTGGAAGGAAGGACCGGCACTATGGGCGATGTCGACAAGTGGATTGAGACGGTGAAGGAGTGCAAGTACCTGCCAGAGAACCAGTTGAAGAATCTGTGTGAGATGGTGTGCGATATACTAGTGGAAGAGTCAAACATCCAGCCCGTCAGCACGCCGGTCACTGTCTGCGGCGATATTCATGGCCAATTCTACGATCTGGAGCAGCTGTTCCGGACAGGCGGCCAGGTGCCGGACACCAACTACATTTTTATGGGCGACTTTGTCGATCGTGGCTACTACTCGCTGGAAACGTTCACCCGCTTGCTGACCCTCAAGGCGCGCTATCCCAACCGGATAACCCTGTTGCGCGGAAACCACGAGACGCGACAGATCACCAAGGTCTATGGCTTCTTCGACGAATGCTTCACCAAGTACGGAAATGCAAATGGCTGGAAGTATTGCTGCAAGGTCTTTGATCTGCTCACCATCGCTGCCATCATTGATGAGGAGGCTCTGTGCGTGCACGGCGGCCTGAGTCCAGAGATCATCACTTTGGACCAAATTCGGACAATCGAACGAAATGGCGAGATACCCTACAAGGGCGCGTTCTGCGATCTGGTTTGGTCCGATCCCGAGGATATGGAGTACTGGGGACAGAGTCCACGCGGCGCTGGGTGGCTGTTCGGTCACAAAGTCACCAAGGACTTTATGGCGATCAATAATCTGAACCTTATCTGCCGTGCCCATCAACTGGTCAACGAGGGCATCAAGTACATGTTTGAGGGCAAGCTGGTGACAGTGTGGTCGGCACCCAACTATTGCTATCGTTGTGGAAATGTAGCGGCAATCCTTAGCTTCGATACGGCGCAGCAAAGACAGACGAAGACCTTTGTGGCGGTGCCGGATGCGGAACGGGTTATACCCAAGCAGAACACGACGCCGTACTTCCTGTGAATCGACCAATTGTGTTCCTTAAAACTGATCCGGCCAGTCAACAAGAGGAGATTATATGTATATGTACGCTTTTTGGACGCAGCGCGGAGAGCAGCCTTTGAACCTGAGTCTACTTTTACCGCCTTTATTGCCTTTAACGAAACTCGAAAACGAACACAAAAACACTCAAATGTATCATATCTATTTAATAATATTAAAATTGTATCCTCAGTTTTATATGTTAAACACTGTTAAATGTGAATTAAACTTCGAAATATAACGTTTGATTTGATAAAGAGACTTCCGGTATTTAAAGTAAAATAATCGATTTTATTCAGTATTTTATATTGTTTTGTCATTTAAGTGTGACCACATGGGTTTAAAGACGAAATCTGTTCTCTTGCGAAATTCAGCATTAGCAACGAAAAATTTGCCGGGCACACTGCTTGCCGGGCCATCAAATTATTATATTTCGCCTATGGATTGACTTCCAAGTTATCCTCCGATAGACCCTGCCGGACCTCTGAAGATAAGCGCCCCAAATGGTGAACATCTCCACCATCAACTGGCTCTTTGTCTGCGGGCTGTGCTTCTGCCTGGGCGGCATTGGCGTACTCAGCTTTATGCCCCTCAGCTCCGGTACGTGTGCGAGGAGGAACCTTCTATAAATACTGACCTAATAAGCGTTCCGCTCTTTTTATAGACTGCATCTGCCCACTGTCCAACCCGCTGGCCAAGGCGGGCGCAGTAGGATTGATGCAGAAGGTGCCCCCGGTGGAGAAGCAGCCACATGAACACAAAGCCGCCGCTCACAAGATGGCCCTGCTGGTGCCATTTCGGGATCGCTTTGAGGAGCTGCTCCAGTTCGTGCCCCACATGACAAGTTTCCTACGGCGCCAGAACGTGGCGCACCACATATTTGTGCTCAATCAGGTGGACCGGTTCCGTTTTAACCGGGCTTCGCTGATCAACGTGGGCTTCCACTTCGCCAGCAACGTTTACGACTACATCGCCATGCACGACGTGGACCTGTTGCCGCTCAACGACCAGCTGCTCTATGAGTACCCAAGTGACTTGGGCCCGCTGCACATTGCCGGACCCAAGCTGCATCCCAAATACCACTACGACAACTTCGTTGGCGGCATCCTGCTGGTGCGGCGCGAGCACTTCCAGCAGATGAACGGCATGTCCAACCAGTACTGGGGCTGGGGCCTGGAGGATGACGAGTTCTTTGTACGCATCCGGGATGCGGGGTTGCAGGTGTCGCGACCTCAGAACATCAAGACTGGCACCAACGACACATTTAGGTGAGTGTAGCTATCAATTTAGGAGAGAGCGTCGCATTAATTTGTAGCTTTATTGATTCCTCAGCCATATCCACAACCGCCATCATCGAAAACGGGACACGCAGAAGTGTTTCAACCAGAAGGAGATGACCCGCAAGAGGGACCACAAGACGGGCCTGGACAACGTAAAGTACAAAATTCTGAAGGTCCATGAACTGGCCATAGACGGAGTGGATGTGACCATCCTCAATATAATGCTCGATTGTGATGTGAATAAAACGCCGTGGTGCGACTGCTCCGGCACGGCGGCGGCTGCCTCGGCCGTACAAACCTGAGAGGTTGTGCTTAACTAAAGAATCGTTTGCCTAGTCCAATCCTATGTTTATTCCGCTATATAATTTGTTTGCTAATGATAAAGGCGCTAATACACGTGCACCATGCCGTAGAGGAATGTCCAGAAGAGTACGTAAGTGCAAAGGCCGCCCATGAACTGGTTGGTCAGCAGATTGCTGCGGTTGATGAAGAACTTGCGCCACTGGGTGCCCGATTTAAGCAGCACCAAGATCCAGAGCACGAATACGGACAAGAAGTAGAAAAGGAAGCCCAAAGTGCCACTGAGGCCCAGAATTCCTGCAATAGGTTTCAATTTATGTGAATTTGTTGCTGACCCACTCGGAATTAGTTCCAATTACCCGCAGCACATCCAGAGATGGCGGCCATCGACGTCCGGCAGTACTCCACGGCAGATATGTTATTCCGTATGGCGCCCTCGCTGTAGGCGATGATCTCGCCGGTCTTTGACTGTGCCGTCTTCACTCGGTTCATTTTAATTGATTAAATTCTGTTTTAATTTGACGAGAAAAAATTATTGTCCGGTCTGAGAGCTACGATAGTACTATCGATTGGGTAGGCTGTCATCGATAACTTTTCACTGAAAAAAAGCCCAAGGCAATGGTTAACTTTTCGAAATATTTTGAAATTCTTAAGTCAGGTATTATCAACTTAATGAGCTTGTTGCTTTATTAAAATTATGGTAATTACCAAATAAATAAATCTTTATACGTTTTGTTGAAATATTTAATTTGTTCTATTGAAAGGTGTTTTATTCAAGATGTGTGAAATTTATATTTGATTAAATTAGTTTCTTTCCTTCCTTTTTTTATAACTATACAGTGCTGAAAATTTAGAATAATAATACAAATTAAGATTATTACAACTATCTTGTTTAAAGAAATTTTCGAATTATCTACATTCTTTTAGATTTTCCTTTCTCTAGTTTTTCTGTCCGATTACTCATAATTGCGTTATTTGCCATTCACATGTCAACGTCGCTTGTTGTTATTGGAATTTGGGCTGGAGAGCTCGGACGGACATTAATTCATTAAAATATGTGATAACGCGACCTGCCGAATTCTGCGTGCTGAGGGCAATATGAGCAATTAGTCCGCCTGACGTGTGGGTTCTACTACTATGTTGTCGCGCCCGCGACCCGCTAGATGCCAACTCTTGTTTTGAAACGCGGAGTTCCTGCCCAACATCACATCACACCCACCACTACCACCCCCAGTTGTGCCCCCAGCTCCACCGACTGCCACCCCGAGCCCCCAGTGGAAGGCAATTAAAAAATCAATCAGAGTGGGCCCTAATTGAGAGCTGCCACCCAATCTAAGTCTAGTTTCGACTCCGACTCTGTCGTCATGTCGCCGAAGAACTGCGCGGTGTGCGGGGACAAGGCGCTGGGGTACAACTTCAACGCCGTCACCTGCGAGAGCTGCAAAGCCTTCTTCCGGCGAAATGCTCTGGCCAAGAAGCAGTTCACCTGCCCGTTCAACCAGAACTGCGACATCACGGTAGTGACGCGCCGTTTTTGCCAGAAATGCAGACTCCGCAAGTGCCTAGACATCGGCATGAAAAGCGAGAACATCATGTCCGAGGAGGATAAACTGATCAAACGACGCAAGATCGAGACGAACCGGGCTAAGCGTCGCATGATGGAGAACGGAACTGATGGTGGCGACGCCGAAGTTGATGGCAGCGGCGGCGATGACAATAAGGCGCCGGCTGACAGTAGCAGCAGCAATCTGGAGCTGTATTCAGGCTCCCAGGACTCACAGAGTTGCGGCTCGGTGGATAGCGGCGCTAACGGCTGCGCGACCCGGCAGCCCAGCTCATCGGGAGCTCAGGTAAACCCGCTACAGATGACAGCTGAGAAGATCGTAGACCAGATCGTATCCGACCCGGATCGGGCTTCGCAGGCCATTAACCGGCTAATGCGCACCCAGAAGGAGGCTATTTCCGTAATGGAGAAAGTCATCAGCTCGCAGAAGGACGCCCTGCGACTGGTGTCGCACTTGATCGACTACCCAGGTGGGTACCTAACGCTAGTAGCTGGTAGTAGCCATCTCTGCTAACCCCTGACCCCTGACCCCTGCCCCTGACTTTCTCGTTGTAGGCGACGCTCTGAAGATCATCAGCAAGTTCATGAACTCGCCCTTCAACGCGCTGACAGTATTCACCAAGTTCATGAGCTCTCCCACGGACGGCGTAGAGATTATCTCAAAGATCGTCGATTCGCCGGCGGACGTGGTGGAGTTCATGCAGAATCTGATGCACTCCCCAGAGGATGCCATCGATATTATGAACAAATTCATGAATACCCCGGCGGAAGCGCTACGCATCCTTAACCGCATTCTGAGCGGCGGCGGGGCAAGCACAGCTCAGCAGACAGACCGCAAGCCATTTGTAGACAAGGAGCTCACAGCGACGAAGCCTCCTCCGCCGGCGGAGCGGGTGGATACCGTCATACAGAGCATGCTGGGCAGCGGGAGCCCGCCAATTTCGCCCCATGGCGCCGCCGTGGACCTACAGTACCATTCGCCCGGAGCCGAAGAGCAGCCCAGTACCTCGAGCAGCCATCCCTTGGCCTACATTGCCAATTCGCCAGACTTCGACCTGAAGACCTTCATGCAGACCAATTACAACGACGAGCCCAGTCTAGACAGCGATTTTAGCATCAACTCGATCGAGTCAGTGCTGTCCGAGGTGATTCGCATCGAGTACCAGGCCTTCAATAGCATCCAGCATGCCGCGTCGCGGGTGAAGGAGGAGATGTCGCACCTGAGCGGTGGTGGCCACTCCTCTTACGGCGGCTGCAATGGCGCCGGAAATGGCAGCCAGCAACAGCACCTACAGCAGCCCATCTGCGCCCCCTCCACCGCGCAATTGGATCGCGAACTGAACGAGGCCGAACAAATGAAGTTGCGGGAACTGCGAATGGCCAGCGAGGCTCTCTACGATCCTGTGGACGAGGATCTCAGTGCCCTGATGATGGGCGACGATCGCATTAAGGTAAAAATTTACCCTCTGGCATTAGCCTTTCGTTCTTTCATTTATAACGCTCCAACACCGCGTTCAGCTTATCTAATCGTGGTGTGCCAGCACCGATATAGTCGGCACCTGGCAGCCGTTATTCAGTGATTCAGGGCGTATTGCAGAGATGGCCCATGGGCCATGACTTTGCCGTCAGCCAGTTTCTGTGTTCCCAGCACTCCGGTGCTCTCAAATGTAAACACACACTTTCCAATGGGGTGGCTCGGATTAAAGGGCTTAAAATTTGAAGGAGAAATATTAGGGAACTTGGTTTTGGACCCGGTTTCTAAAGAAATATTGAAAGTATGAATAAGTGTACAATGTCTCTTAATGAAGACAATTTAAGGAAGTGTCAAAAGACTTCAGTTTTGGTTAAGGTTAGTTGGGCTTAGTAATTTCTATGTTATAAAATCGGTGTCCGTCTGTTCTTCCGGTTAGTTAAACATTTCCTTGAACTAAGACCCGTCTATGCTAAGTAAAGCTTAAAAACTTATTTTCAAAGAAAACCCAATAGTCAAAATAATATTTGATTTTCTCTCTTTTGAAAAAGATAATAGCTTTTATGAGTAAACCTGCAATAACCTCTTTATCATGGTTTCAAGCAAGTGTCAACAATTACTATTAGACCTCTTGGCCTCCCATAGTTAAATCGTCCAAATATGAGTCACTGATTCCGCGAATGCATATTGCCATAAAACGAGCCACCCTAACTGTGAGCAATCGGTCTGTCTGGTGGGGTCGGTCTGCCTAGAGCAGGGCAGACAGTGGCTTTATCAAACCAATAGTGACATTATCAACCATTATCAAATGCGACAGCAGGCGCTCATGAGAGTCCACAGCGTCGATTTGGCCATTTATTGTTTGCCGTTAGCGCCTCATCGCAATTAGCACATTTTCAGTATTGTTAATTGGGAAAAACGATACAATATTTTTTTTTACGAAATGTGGAGCAGCCAGGTGTTTAGGCTCTACGATAAGCAGAAGAGTGCTCAACAACCCGGTTGAGTCACCTTCCAGGGAGAAGCCTTTACGGTTATGTATAAATAACTGATAATAATGGCCACCTGTGTGTTCTGTTTCGATTTGTTTTCATTTGTTTTGTCAACCAGCCTGACGACACTCGCCACAACCCGAAGCTATTGCAGCTGATCAATCTAACGGCGGTGGCCATCAAGCGGCTTATCAAGATGGCCAAAAAGATAACAGCATTCCGTGACATGTGCCAGGAGGACCAGGTGGCCCTGCTCAAAGGCGGCTGTACAGAAATGATGATAATGCGCTCCGCAATGATTTACGACGATGATCGTGATGCCTGGAAGGTAAGTGTTACATGGGTTCGTTAATTGGTTCATCGGATTCTGATACTGTTCCTCATCTGATTCTTACAGGTACCCCACACCAAAGAGAACATGGGCAACATACGCACTGACCTGCTCAAGTTCGCCGAGGGTAATATTTACGAGGAGCACCAGAAGTTCATCACGACCTTCGATGAAAAGTGGAGAATGGACGAAAACATTATACTGATTATGTGCGCCATTGTCCTATTCACCTCGGCTCGATCGCGAGTGATACACAAAGACGTGATTAGATTGGAACAAGTAAGTGTTTAGTGAAAGGGACAGAACATCTTTCATAATTAATTCAATTTTTTTAATTATAGAATTCCTACTATTATCTTCTGCGAAGATATCTGGAGAGTGTTTACTCTGGCTGTGAGGCGAGAAACGCTTTTATCAAGCTAATCCAAAAGATTTCAGATGTGGAGCGTCTGAACAAGTTCATAATTAATGTCTATTTGAATGTTAACCCATCCCAGGTGGAGCCATTGCTGCGTGAAATATTCGATTTAAAAAATCACTAGATAACGAGGCGGGCAGGGGCATATAATGCCAATGCCGTAATCAATTGAATGATCAATCAGCGAGCTGCAGTTGTTGTTGTTGTTTTTAATAATTATATGAGCGCTTCGGCCAGCTGATTTGTCCGTTGTATCCTGTCGCTTGTAATGTTAGATTTTAATAGAATGTGATTGTTAGATTTGCATATACTGCATAGATTTTATATTTCTACATCAAAGAGAGCATATTTTTAGGATACCAAGTGCAAAGCAACACAATCTATGTGTAAAACGTACACACACAAAAACACACACATTTAACTAGTTTCAAATAAACTAAACACTGATGCAATAAATATGACCCAGCATAATTAATTCGTAAAAGAGTTTCTAATTTCCTGTTCACAATTTCCCAATGAAACTAAAAGCCACTTAACAACAATGAAGATTTAATTTTGTTTCAGAAGGTCACAAAATGAACATATTTTTTATATGTTTGAATATGGGAGAAGGGGCCGAAAAATTCAAAGTATGAAAGCCAACGTGAGGCGGTCACCTGGGGGAAACCACTCTGAATATCCGCACCCATATTGTGGTCCTCGGGAATCCGTGTCGTGTACGTATTCGCGGCCAGCGTCTGCGACTGCATCTGCTACTGCCGTATCCGACATACATTGTCAGTTGTGTATAATGTAGGTAATATAATAGCATGAGTTCTCTCCTCACACACGCCACCGACACCACCTTGGTTGCTGGTGGCGGGGCATATATTCATTGTTAGCCGGGTCTGTCAAGATTTATACGCTTTCTCAGGTTGATTCGCGGCAATCCTTGGCCCACTGCAGGAACTCATCTAGAGCACTCACTGCCAAGTTGCGAGCCAGGGCCTTGACTCGAAGATTGCGATCGGTGGTGATGAGAACCAGTTCGGTTTGAATGAAACATTTGCCATCTAAAATGTTTAGTTCATTAATAATTAAATAATTAATTTTTTAAAACCAATTGAACTTACCTCTGCATTGTTCAGACTTAGCCGTTTTAGATACGGCCACTGCCGTTGCCAAAATTTTGTCGTCATTGGACTGATACTCTTCCTCCACCAAGGCAAACACTGAGGAATTGACAAACGAACCCTTTGTGGTGGCGCATCTGAAATGGGGAACAACGTTTAATAGGTATTGTTTCTTACTCAATAATCAGAACATTACAAGGCAAAAACATTGTTGCCTAATTCGGATTACTACATTTTCTAATCGCAATTACTAATCAGTATTCCAGAGGTTATCAGTTACTTACTTCACATTACTCTTGGCGGACTTGATAAATTCAAGGGATTTCTTAGCTCGCGACGACACCTCGTCAAAGTGGTGAATGCGCTGAGTCTGCTTTGAGCTGCAATAGGCTTCCAACTTGACGCCCTTAGAGAGACCATCCAGTTCCTTAACAACTGTCAGCGGTATAATGAGCGTGTAGCGCTTGAACTCCACGGCCAGCTTCTCAACGTCCTCCAAGCAGTCGATAAAGCAGTTGGTGTCGGGCAAAAGATAGCGCGGACGCACCTCTATATATATCTTAGTGTCGACGAACTTGAGGATCTCCTCCAGCTTGGTGTTGCAGATCTTCCTAACCTTTGCCTTTGCCTCCAGCTCCTTCTTCAGCTTGCAAAGTTGCGAAACGTCCGCGTCGGTGGAAGGACACTGTGCATCCACATCTGATGCTGCAGCTGCTAGGCTTCGCACCCTAGTTGCACTTGCTAGACCACAACTCTCAGCGTCGAAGTTATCGAGAGCGCTTTTCATGGCTGCGTTTAAATCCTCGATGGTAAAGCTCGAATCTAGAGGTTGCTGTAATGCCTCTTGATGCTGAATATAGCAGTCCTGAAACTCGGCAATCTTACGCAGGCGTTCGAGGAACTGAACGCGTTCGGGGGCACTCTTGCTGCAATCCTTGCTAATCAAATCGCGACCCAAGGGATTGAAGCCGCTCAGGGCTATATCTTCATCCAAAATAATGGCAAAATTCTCCGGTTTCTGCTTGCCGAGAACGCAGTCAATATGCTCGAAGAGCGTTGAGAGCTCAGACCAACAATCGATAAAGTAGTGTCTGTGAATCAAAGAAGGATCGTTAGAAACTGCTTCAATAATTAAATAGAGGAAGAACTGTACTTACTCCTCCGACCGAACAGGCTCCCACAAGTCCACATTAATGCTAAGCCAGTGCACATATACCTTCACAAACTGTAAGTATGTGTTGACGTTGGCGTAACTAAAATATCAACAAAGACTCAATAAACAAAAGAAACATTAAGGTCACAAATTGCATACTCTTCATCGGGAAGGCACTGGATGTTTGTGAAGTCCTCCACAAAACCGGCCATCAACTGGTTTGTCTTCTCCAGCATGAGCCCAAAGAATGAGTTGGCGAAATTGAAGCTGTGATAACGCATCTCGCGCCGTGAAGCTGTTAAACAATAAAGCAACGCATTAACTTCAATCTCGATTAGGCCTTATCGTTGATACATACATTTTCGCTTGTTGTGCTCCACGACAAACATATTGAGTGCCACGATTTTCAGCAGCTTGGAGCGTGTCAACAAGTTGTTGTGCTTGAGCACGGCCCCCATCTGGATCTGCAGTTTTCGCAGCAGCTGGTACAACGAGTCCACACTGTGAATGATTCGTGATTTAATCGTGTTCCGCTTTCACTTTCGCAGAATTGAACTATATACTCACTCTGTGCCCGTGTAGAGCTTGCCTATCAAGTACAAATAAAGCGACACGATGCGCGGTAGTAGCTCCTCCGGCTGCATTTTATCGTAGCGATTGACTTCAGCTAAGGTGGCCTTGTTGCCCTTTCCATTGTTGTTGCCTTTTACATCGGTGCGATGCAGACACCGTATGCCATCCGGATAAATCCACACCTCTTTGCGCATTTGCTTAGATTTCTGGCTTTTCGGTGCAGCCGCTTGGTGCATAGGAGATTGCTTCATCTCGTTCTCCTCGTACTTGCGACGAATCTCGTCAAACAGATCCAGCAGGCTCTCCTTGGCCGTCTGAATTGAATTAGAAGTCAATAGACTTCGCACATAGTAGTAAACGGCATCAAAGCGCTTGTGCTGCAAGGGAAAAACACCATTATTCGCGTTTATAATTGGGCTAATAATAATATCGAAAAAGAGATTAAATTATCTTGCGACGGAATTAAATGACTTAGCATTAGTGCTTGTGACTAAGCAATCTTAGTTGGGAATCCCATAAATTGACGTGACAACTTTAACGACTGCGTGTGCGATAAGGAAACCTTTTACTTACATGGTAAATGGAAATAACCGCCAGCTGGTTGTACGGTGCCCCATTTCCGGGCACTAGCTCCTGGGCCTTCAGATAGTATCTGGCCGCCTCCAAATAGTCCGTGGCCTGTACATGGTTCACCCGGTAACGCGACAGATCGCCTAGGCAGATGAGTAGCCGCTGGGCCACAACCTTGACGGCGCTCTCGCTGCGCGAAGAGGGCACACACTTTGCCATGAGCTTTTCATACATCATGCGGTAGAACCTGGTGGACTGTTCAATTAGCAGAAGTGTATGGTCGTGCGCCTGGTCAGAGTGCTGGCGCTTTAGGTAATCGCGCACATTGTAGAATAGGAGCTTCCAGAAGAAGACGTCCACCTTGTGCTCGCACACAAACTTCAGCTGATCCAGAACAAGCTCCTTGAATGCGTCCTGGAGTTGGTCGCGAATATCGCAGAAGTTCTTCCAGTTCTGTGTGGAAAGAGCAATAAGTGGATGCCGGACAGGTTTAGGTGTTACTTACAATCAGTATAAGGTTTCTTTGCTGCAGCACCATCAGTTGGTCATACAAATGGACTATAATCTTGGCCTGAGGCAGGCTCAGGAGAGGCTCAAACCAGTCCGGATGCTCGGTGGTTAAGCGGGTGCGCGTCACTGGCGACGGCGGAGCTTGCTCCTTGTCCTTGTCATGATGCTTCCAACCCCTGCGCCGACCATTGTGGGTCTTGCCATTCCCATTGCCTCTACCGCTCCCATTACCATTACCACTACCATTTCCATTGTTGTCGGCCACAGAGGTGGCCACCCGCAGGATGCCCGGAATCCCGCCATCGCGTAGCTGCCTCGCACTTGCGCCCACGGCTCCGTTGGTAACCAAAACGGGTGCCTTCGGTTTCACAGCAGTTGCACCGCTCAGGACGGCGACTGCAAGTGGTGAAATCGAGTTATACTAGATGTGACGCACTAGCTCATACAGAGCACAAAGCACACTCACCTGGCCTTGGCGACGGCGACGGCTCCGCATTCTCAACGTTTTCCGCCGTTGGTGCGTGGCTGCAGCAGCTGGCTGCTATTTTGTTCTGCAGCCGTTTCGGTAGCGTCCCAATGATCAGCGATATATCATTTTGATCTCGCGTTCCCTTTCGATTCATATTTAAAGCGCTGCCTTTGCTGGTGCATTTATCCCACTTGTTCAAGGGTGATCGCCTTTGTTAAATTGTCAAATATTTTAGTGTGCTGTCGTAGGGTATATTACGTCTCGAAAAATCTCTAGTGATAGCGATGCCAGCGTGAGCGACTACTCTCACGCCTCACGAGGTGGTAATGCATATGCAGGGTGTACACATGTGACGTTATTTGGTAATATATTCAATATAATACCTATGTGTACATACAAAAAAGTTACATTTTCTTTATTATTTTCTTAAAATATTAGTTTAAAATATGTAAACGATTGCCATTAAAATCACGCACGTAAAGGTTGTATTAAATCAGTATACACTCTCATCTCTAACAGTCGGTAACGCGTGCGCAGCAGTGTGACCAGTTACAGCTAAAACGCATTAACAGGGCTGGATGCTTTGCCTCGAAGGCGGAAAATTTGACTGAATAAATAAAACATTCAATTTCAAATGATTAGAATTTCAATGTATGTTTGGAATTCAGCAGTATATATTTTATTATTATTTAAAGCTGTAAAGTTACCCAATAATGCTGTCTGAAAGAAGTTAAACTATGCAAAATCAGATTACTTTCAAGATGCGAAATTCTATTAACTACGCTTACTTATTTATAGTTTTCAACCAGAAAACATCGAAAATACTCTTTGTGCCACTTTAATATCTAAAAGATCAGGAAAAATTACTCCTCAGATTGGAGAAATTTCGTTCTATTTGTTGATTTAAATGTTTCGTTACGTACATGACTCTTTTTATTAAAGTGTTTCAGTCTTCCACTAACGTATAATTATTGGATAGCGCTGTGAAAGTAATTTTTTTTCGGCCCATATTATTGCTTTACGCGTGTATTATTCTCAAATGCTCTATTTGAAGCTTGTTGGAAAGGGGGGAGAGGGAGAGTTTTGATCAATCAATCTCTTACACATAACTACATTTAAATATATATATTAAGAGATGCTCGTAGTTTAGTCAATGAATAAATGATGGATTGGTTACTTTAATTATATTATACATACATAAGTCGTGTACACTTTAGATTCAAATAAGTTGTATAAATTGTTACAGTGCAACTACAAGGAATGGCTGAAGCAGACTCCTTGGTGTTTATAAATGTTGTATATGTATATCGGCAAAATCGATCATTATCTTTATATGAACTGTTCAATGTGAGCGTCAATAGATTTATATAAATATTGTAATAAATAATTACGTAAAAATGTTATCATATTTTAATCATTAATCCTAAATTCCCACACATGTTCGTTTTGTTTGTATGTTCTTCATGAATCGATCGGTCGGGGTTTATCTTGTACACGCAATGTTTAAAAAAATCTAAAAATTATAATTTAACGGCTCTAAGCAATTCAACGGATTGTGGGAGTCCATTCAATATCATTTAAAAAACGAATTCTATCATCGCATCATCAGCTTGGTAAGTTTATGAATATTCATTGCTTCGCATTTTATCCTTGTCGGTGTCCTTTAAAATAGAAACGGATGAGTAATGTATATGGAAGATATATTCGGCTGCCGACTTACCCTTGGCAAATCCTTAGATGTGGATAGACCCGCCCGAAAGCGTACATCGATCTTCATTTGTTCAGTGCTGAAATCACGATCTCGGTTTTTTAACCGGCTTTTGTTGGTATTGTTCTGCTGATATTCATTCTTCCTGCTGTTGGCTCCTCCGTAGTGGGCTCCAAAGTCATTTTCTCTGTCAAAGTCCAGACTGTCTCTGTCCTTGAACTGATAGTCGTTGCCCCTACGATACTCGCTGTAATTGCTTCCCCCGGCTCTGTGTATTGGATTGCGGAAGCCAGCTCCGCCAGCGTTGAAGTGTTTTTGTGACATTCCGCCGCCGCCGCTTCGACTATCGCGTTCCCGTGGCTCCTTATCGTCAGTGTGACGATTGAAACTGCGACTAAGGGGGGCTTGCGCCTGGCTGTTACCCTCTGGGCCATGCAAGGGCGGTCGCTTTGAGGAGACTTCCTCTTCCTGCTTCTTTTCGTAGTGGAAGAAGTCGTCGAATATGGACGTTGAGTGGTTGTACGAGTGTAATATCTGCAGCACCTCGATTCCCTTATCGTTAGGTACTTCCTGGGTATCCCGCGAATTCGTTACCGACTTATTGTCATTGTTTTCCAATCGAATGTGACGCAGCTTTCCATTAGGCACATCCTTCACATATATCCATTTCACCTTAAACTTTCCCTTCCACTTGTCCTGCGACCAAACACTGGATGTGGAGTTGTAGTCCACCGCAGTCATCATTTGTGCCATGCCACAGAAGTGGCCAGAGCCGTTCACCGAAAAGAACAGCATGATGTTGCCGCCCTCTTTGTGGCGCTCCTTGAAGGCATCGTCCAATCTCTTATTTCCATGGTCGGTTGAACACCAAATCTCATACTTTATACTGCGGTGGATGTCATCTTCGGAATACGATTTGATGACAAAGAACCTGCAACAATTTAAAATGGTTAAAGACTAATGTGTATCTCTTGATATCCTCCTATTTACCTTGTTGAAGTGGCTTTGTTCAAATCCACAACCTTCGGATTATAATTGTTTTTGTCTTTTAATTCGTCCAACAAAAGTTGGGGATCGACAGGCACCTCTTCGGTTGTGGACGTTGCTTCCACAGGTCGCGAATGGTTTTCCTCGCGGTACTCAAACTTGGGAGTATTCTCAAAGTCGCTGTTGCTCCGGAAACTCGAGTAGTGGTTACCCGACCGCTCAATATTTCGGTTTGGATGGGGCGCACCGCCGGCGCCATCATGCCGCCTAGCCTGGTTATTGGGTGGACCAAAGGGACCTGGGCCTGCATTGTTCGCGGGACGTGGGGCTGCATGGTGCTGCTGGGCTGGGTGATGCTGCTGGATGGATCCCATATTTCTGGGATTCCGAACCGGACCCGTTGGTGAGATCTTCGCTCTGTTGAAATTATTATTGTTGTGGTGGTTGTGGTTGATGTTGGTGCCCAGGCCCTTGTTCTCATACTTTTGGAAGTTCTCCGTATCCTTGTGCACCTTTTCTGTGCGTGTGCCCAACTGCGGGGCCTGTCCATGATTATTGCCAGAGATGGAAAAGTCCGAACTCAAGTCAGAGTAGCCCAGATCGATGGGCGACGGGGGAGAGGGTACAAGAGGAGGTTTGTTATTCGGTAAGTCCCATACATTAACATCTAGGTTGTGCTTTCCTGGCACCATTGGTGGCGGGGGCATGCCGGGACCCTTTTTCTTGTTGTTGGAAGTGGTGGACGCTGTCTGTAATGTTACAGGAATAAGAATTAGTGATAAATAGATAGAGGCTAAAAGATAAATATGAAAGAAAAAGTGTAAATCGATATTTTTATTGATTAATTATTAGCATAATTTTTTGGGTAAATCAAAGTTTTCAAAATATCATAACTAAGCCAAAATGCATTAATTTCAATTCGGAATGGTTTTCTATACTGGTTTTTACTAGGTTACAAAATCTGTATAATTTTGAAAATTTTAACGATGTAACCCCTTTTAAAATTTCAAAATGTAAAAATTTCACAAATTTATTTTTGGACCGGACATGGCTAGATCGACTCAGCTGGAGATGCTAATCAATAATATATGTATATGGTTTATAGGGTCAGAAATGACTCTTTTACTGCGTTTCAGACTTGTAAGGAAAATTATAATACCCTGTAAGGGTTTACCCTTTTATATCGATTTAGAACATCGATTTATCTCAACGGTAAAATATCTATGTCTAGTTTGACTTACTCTGGATGTTAGTTTAGCCGGTTGAGAGGCAATTGACGCCCAGGTTGTCTTTTTGGGTGCAGCGACAACTTCGTGGTTTTGTGCTTCATCGCTGGCCCTGTTGTCCAGTTTTGTAGACGATGGATGATCGTTCTCATTACGAATTGTCTAGAAAAAACAATAGTATTAGCTTTGCTTCTTAGGTTTTATAATCAGAACTAATAATTCTTGAGGTGTTTGTTTAAATAAATATGTACCTGTGTTACGGGTTTCCTGGAATTCCAAGGATTTACTTGGAGATCGTCTCGTCTTGTGTTGTTGGGAATACTATGTCCATGTCTTTTGTATGATTCTAATAAGGGGGAGCCAAATTGTGAATGGGAAACCAAATAAAATAATATTAATTATATCTCAATCTATATTATTATTATTTTATAAACAAATCTTAAAAGGTTTTAATAGCAAACTATTCTGTAATTATTTCTTGTTTATAACCAGTCTTTGGCTAACTTACCAACACGTGAACCTATTCTTGAAAATTAATTTTATCAAATTTTAAAAAAGATACGTTAATCTAAGTCTCTAAAGTTAGCAAATGGCAGCACAGTTTGTGTTTTACTTCATTTTCACGTTGTCAGATAAAAAAACAAGTCAAAATTTACGTTTTCGATGGAGGGAGATGCATCAAAAAGCGATGATGAGGACACCGTCCCAGTCAAGATCGGTATAATTGGTGAGGCCAATCTCGATACACCGATATATCTGACAGAGCGCATGGAATATGCAGTGTGTACGCCGTTCGGGAGGCCATCAGACGTGATCATCGATGGCCAAATTGAAGGTGTCAATGTGTGCCTCCTGTCAAGGAATGGTCGACTCCACGATATCATGCCTTCAAATATCAACTACCGGGCCAACGTGTGGGCCATGCGCAAGATGGGCTGCACCCACATCTTGGTGAGCAATACCTACAGCTCCCTACGTGACACAATACAGCCGGGCATGCTGGTTGTGCCAGACGACTTTATAGATCACACGTCCAGGCGAGCCCAGACCTTTTATGATGGCGCGCCAGGCAGTCCTCTGGGCGTCTGCCATGTTCCCATGACCCCTCCGTTTTGTGACCGCACCCGTAAGCATCTTTTGGACGCCGCCCAGGAGCTAGAGTTTCCCACGCGATCCTCCGCCACGGTGCTGGCCATCGAAGGACCTCGTTATTCGACCATGGCCGAGAATAACATGTACCGCAAGTGGGGAGCTGATCTCCTAAGCATGACGTTGTGCCCCGAGGCCACCTTAGCCAAGGAGGCCGGCATTCTGTTTGCCTCTTTGGGCCTGGTCACTAACATGGAATGCTGGTGTGCCAAGCAACCGAACGCCACGACCCACGAAATAATCTATATCTTTAAAAAACAAGCCGAGAACCTCCAGAACGTAATGGTTTCGGCCATAAAGAGTATTTCTAAAGAGGATTGGGCTGAGGATATTCTGAAGGCAAAGGTAAGTCTGGTGGTATTAGCGTTTGAACTTTTCTGATCATTAAAATTACTTTACCTCAATAGGTATTGGTGTGCAGTAACTTCGCGAACAGTAAATAATAGTGTAATCCCTTGTTAAATTTGGTTTAAATATATTTTTTGGATAAAAAACGAATTGAATTTTTCATTTTGGGGGATTCTAATAATTACTTTGAATCAATATTTATCGTAGTTTTTAAATGTCATTTATTACGATAAATCAATGTTTAAACAAACCCATAACTAAGCTAAAAAAATCACTAATTTGGAATCAGAATGCTTTCCCAAATTAGTTTTTACAAGATTAACAAATCTCAGTTCAAAATTATTAAAATTAAAATTTTTTTAAAATTTTTAAAATTTTAACGATGTAACCCCTTATAAAATTTGGTAAAAATTAGTTTTAAAAATTTGTTCTGTTTGAGATGGCTAGATCGACTCGGTTGTCGATGCTGATCAAGAATATATATGAATTATAGGGTAAGAAATGACTCCTTCACATCGATACTACAATTATAATACTATTGCATGGGTATAAAAATAAAAAGTATTAAAAGAAAACTACTTTAGGATAAAACAATCCCAACTACCTAATATGTCCGAAATGAAAGCCTTTGGTGACTCCCACAAACCAGATTAATCTCTATTTTGCACAAAACTCTGAAAGATATTATTCAGAGCAAGCTAGCGCTAGCGCATTGACTATTTCTCCAATCGGAAGCAAATAGGAGGATTTCGCGACGCACCAACTAGCCCATGCATACAGAGTTCCCAGTTCCTAGAGTCGAAAAACCAGTTAGCGAGAACGAACGAATGCACTCGGGGTGCTGTTGCTTTTGCTGTTGCTGCTGGTGGTCGGCGCTAAACAGTTATACATACCATGGTTGGCGTTTATCTTGCGGCCCTTGTTCATATTACTCCATGGGGCGCTGCAATTCTCCTTAAAGTTAAACGGCGGATATTGGAATTGCATGGAGTTTTCGTTGGCTTTTTCGGCGAGGGGAGGAGAGTGGGAGGAATCAAGTTCAAGTTAGCTATTGGGTTCAACTACTAGGTAAAAGAAGTAATTAAACATACCGGCGGAGACTTCATCTTGAGTGGGAGAAGACAGATTTTCGTACGAGGCCTCATCGACTTGCTGACTCCATGGTATATTGCGCTCCTCGACCGATTTAACTGTATTTTTAAACATTGTAAACAGAGAAAAAAGTCGCATTAAAAACGCAGGGGCAAGAGCGGTGGCGAGGGAGGAGGCCCCAGCCGCTGCCGCCGTTGGGTTTAATGGTGGTGGTGGGTTATATACCTGTGTTTCCTGGTATTTTCATCTGAAACAAAAACACAGCAGGTTAATTTATTACTTAAGCGTCTTCGTTATTATGTATACATCATTCCGATGTATGTACACAAACATCTCCCTGCACAGAGCTCCCCGACTAAATCGAATTGAACATATGTATGTACATATGTGTGTATGCAAAATACAATTACCTGATCCACGCCTGACATTTGCTGCACTTTTTGCCTGCAAATAGGAAATAGCTTAGTTTTGCGGGGCGGAATTCAGTGCGCTGACTTTCGCTTAATTACCCCGTTTAAAATAAATGATATAAAAACACAAGGCAGGTATAGTTTGTTGGTTAAAAGTTTTTATAAACTCCGATATATTTTTTACTTTAAGAACCACATACACTGACACCACACGCACATTAACCAATACACTGATAAAATTCTTAACGCTTCCGAGGCCGTCTATTTCCAGCAACGGCGTTATCACCGCAGAAAGCGACGTTATAAACACACAAATAACGGCTGTGGATTCGAACGTGAAGCTTTTGAAAGTTACAATTTTTTGTTTTCAAAACCAATAACCAAGTATGCCATGTGTTGTCTTTGCTTTTAAAACGTATTTCTTAAAAAAACATATAAATTGTGGTATTTTTACAACACTTAATATCAAAATCACCGGCAGAGTTGAATAGCTTTAATCGATATTTCGATAAGATACTTAAATGCACTTTATTTATTATTTCTGATCTTATGGACTTAAGTTGGCGCTTTACTTTTTTATAAATGGAGGGTGGATGAATTTAGTACATCTAGCAAGCTATCAACGACGTACTTAGAACGAGACAAGTGCAAAAAGTGTAAATTTAATACAAGTAAAAAAGCAGTGTGACCGCCGTGGATCAAGAGAGTCTGAGAACAATCGATGCTGCCGATTTGCTCGATAGTGTCAGCTCTAATAGCCACCTCATCTTTGTCAGCCGTAGATTTTACTATATTTAAATTCGAGAAATGGCGAGGGCAGCGTTTTTCCTGTGCCTGCTGATGGCCTGCGCCTGGTCCAGCCATAGCGTCATGTTCCACTTGCCGCCAAACACGCAGAAGTGCCTCAAGGAAGACATCCAGGCGAACCAACTGGTCATGGGCGAATACGAGGTGTCTGACGTGCCCGGCCAAATCATCGACTACATCGTGGGTTTCTTCAATTCAAGCATTTTAAAGTAGTTGGTTTCTGTTTAATCCACTGTGTATCGCCGTTTCAGGCCCGCGACACCAAAGGACACATCCTGTCGCAGAAGGAGCACATCACCAAGGGCAAGTTCAGTTTCATGTCAGAGGTATACGACGCCTACGAGATATGCTTTATATCCAAAGTGCCTGCACGTAAGTTTTCATGGGCTTCACGCTGCCAATCAAATTCTTACTTTCCCTCCTTTATTCTTCAGATCAACGCGGAATATCTCAGGAAGTTTCGCTGAACACCAAAAAGGGTGTGGAAACCAAGAGCTACGAAGGCGTGAGTTAATCCTTAAATCCTTGAATTATCTTGAGATTTAAACTGACATGTATTTTTCCTGAAAATCAGATTGGTGAAGCCAGCAAGCTGAAGCCCCTGGAAGTTGATCTCAAGCGATTGGAAGACCTCTCAGACTCTATTGTTAGGGATTTCGTACTTATGCGCAAACGGGAGGAGGAGATGCGCGACACCAATGGTATGAGTAAGAGTACTAGAGCCTAAAAACCCATCTAATCCCTTTCCTTGTTACATCCACAGAGAAAACCAACAGCCGGGTCCTTTTCTTCAGCATCTTCAGCATGTGCTGCCTGCTCGGCCTGGCGACGTGGCAAGTGCTGTATCTCCGTAGATATTTCAAAGCCAAAAAACTCATCGAGTAGAATTAGTCGTCGCTTAGCCGTAGTCCTTTTGGGCGTGGAAGTGCGTTTAAATATTGCCTGGTTTAAAATTCATCATCTCTCCTTTTAGCGTTTTTCTGAAATAAATGCAACTACCACGTATGTATATTTTATTACTTCGACAGCTTTTCTCACAACAGTGTCTTGGCGGTGTGACAACTAAATACAAATAGCTCGTATTGGACGCGTTAAACATAACAGGTACATAAACACAAAACCACACGGTACAAGTTATTGGCTCAGTTTAGCATTAGCATTAATTGATGGGCCCCCACCCGAAGCTCTTCGCTTAGACGGTTGTTTCCTTCAGCAACATGGTACTCTCGGTCTCGAGAGCATCCTCCTCCTTGCATTCCTCACTTGTAAAAGCCGCAGCCCCCTCCTCAACGGTACTCTGCTTTCTGGGGCTTGTTGTGGAGGCTGCTGGCTTCATCAGTATGTAGCGCGATTTTCCAAGAGAACTGGTATGTGAATCGTCCACAGCAGACTGCTCCATCCACAGGCTTTCATCATTCAGCGACTGATTTACCAAATTCGCCAAGCCCTCCGGAAGCTTGGAACAACTAATGGGGTCAGCGGGTCCTACAACAAGAACAGAGATAAAAAAAAGGGTTATAGGGGACTATAGCTTATAACTTATAATTGAAACGCACTTCAAAAAGAATAAGAAACAACTGAAAAGATGTTGTGAGGTAAAAAACGTAATTTATTTTATCTTAAAAATGACGAACACATAATAAACAATACACGTAAATAAAACACAGATTTAAAACAATATTTTAATTCGGGCTGCTACGACATAAAGGAACAAAAGTAAACTTAAGATTTTTAAAATGATTGCAGCTACAATTTATACTTTTAAAAAGCATATAGTACGTATTTAAACTGCCAACATAAGATTCGGGTACTTATAATCTATTTACACAACAACAGTTTACATTTATAAACTAAAGATAAGATCAACTTAACATTATATTAATGTTTTTGCCAGTTGATTTTGTAAAATAATTGCACTTAAAAGGGATGCAGAGATTAGACGATATTCATTTATAAAATAATTTTATAAATAAAAGCAAGGCGCGTTATAAAAAAAAAATATTTTTAAATTGGCTAGCAAAGTTTTTGGTAAATACGCGCGCCCTTTGTGTGCATGCAGATAGACGGGAATTTTTCGTCTATAGTAAATTATATAAAATAATGCAAGTCTTAAAATACTTAATACTTAAAAACAAAATATAAATCAAAATAACAACAAACTGGAATTAGTGAATGGTACAACACATAGGAATAACACTAGAATTGCGTTTGGAGCTGCGCGTTGGAGCCGTAGCAGCGTTTGGAGTTTCAACTCGATCAACATCACCCGCTCTTCCCGCCTCATCATCATCATCATCATCATTATCTCTGTCGTCGTTCTCGTCTTTGATGGACAAGCGCTTTAGTGTCTCTAGCCGGGACTTTAGCTGGCCAGGAGTTACGGTGCCCCGGGAGGACTTCTCCCTGATTTCGGTATCACCCGTCTCTAAGCCAGGCGGTGAGGTGGCCTCCTCAGATTCCCCCACTTTACTTTCCGAAATTCTATCATGTGGCATAAGCCTACGGTCGAATGGACTCCGTGAACTGCTCGAGGTGGAGGTGCACGAGCTCGTGACCTCCGGATACGGCGAGTGCGACTCTGTGCTCTCTGGCGTGTACGGGTCTTCATACAGCCGCTCAGAGTCCGTGCTAAGATGCTGTGTGTCTATTCGGTTAATAATGATCTCCTGCGTCAGCATTAGGCGCTTGGATAACAGCTTGTATCGATGCGCGACCGGTTGCCTTTTGATTATGTTTCGGCACATGGGACAGATGGCCTCGCCAGTTCGATTGTTACTATCGTCGAACTGCAGATTATTGCTAGAGAGATGGGCGCACAGGCACATGCAAATATTGTCGGAGTCAATTATGTTAATACTAATATTCGGAAAATTCGGGCAATTCGCTTTGGTCGCCTCCGCGGCAGTCTCAGCCTCGTTATGACTAATCTTTAGGGAATTGTACATATTGCGGGCCTCCGTTTCATTGATCAGCTTGGAACTGGTGGCTATATCCTCAAAGAGCTTGTTCGAATAGGGACAATAATAATTCAGTTTGACTGCGGGCAGAGGTGGTGGTGTTGATGTTGAGATTTCGTTGGGTTTGGCGTAAGTAGTATGCGTGTCGTTGCAATCACAAGATCTATAAGTACCTTTGTTTTGTTTAAGACGGACAGTTAAGTAAACAGGCTACATGACGAAAAAGAAGATATATTAATTATTAAACCGATGGAATTTTTCAATATATATTGTAAACCTAGCCTTTTTATTTATTTCTTTTTTGGTTTTATATAGAAAGAAGTTTAGCTTCGAAGCCCCGAAGCCTTTCAAAATATCCTTGCAGATCTATCAAAATATTTAAGAAAAGTTATGGCTTACTTGGATGCTAAAATTACAAACTAGTCGGACTGTAAACATTTTTTACCCTTTACAAGTTCTTTGCTTGTTTGCTTTTTAAATTCGAAAGATATATTTTATATAATTCTGAAATATATTACTATATATATTTACAACATGCTTAGCTGAAGCCGACAAGTGTTGCTTGTTTCATAAGGAGAGAGTGGTTATAGTAAGCGTGGATCAAAAGTGGAATAAGCGACACCATGCCGAAGGGAAACAAAGTTTGTTAGGTAGAGAAGCAGAATTAGAAACAGCCTGGATCGACTAAGGCATTCGGAAACAAATGGAAGCTTCTAATAGAGCGAAGAGCAAGAATATTTTTCAAAAGTGGTGCAAAGTGGAAGACAATCGAGATTTGTAAGTACTTTTAGATTGCTTCTGTAGTTTAACAAATGGAGGAGAGTACATGGTTTAGATATAACTTTACCTTGTGGTCGCCCATGCAGACTCCTTCACCGATCATTCCGTATGTCCACTCGTCGTTTCGTATAATCTCATGGACTTGGGGACTCATCAAGATGCGATCGCACCAGGCCGGACAGCGGGTGGACATGTAATCGGTGGGCATTTCGGGATCCTCCTCAAAGGGATATGACGGTATAAACTGAATGGGATATTCGACTAGGACGTCCTTAAGCGGCTCCAGCTCTCTGTCAAATTTCTTTAGCTACAATTGAATAAAATAATTAGAATTTTAAATTTGTATTACTTGCGTTAATATTCTTACCCAGTCTTCTTTGAACTTAAGCTGATGATCGGCATGACTAAATTCTTTTTTTCCCACGGTAAGTACATTGTCTCCGGTTGAGTTTCGATAATGGATTTTATCGTTCTCATTCTTGATATTTTGAACGCGATGAGCGGTCAAGTTCTGAGTTAATTCCTGTCGAGAAAGACTGGATTAAATTACTTCTCATGTTGGATTAGATGGCAAACTTACTTTCACAACCCCTTCGGTGTCACATCTAAAATTAAAATCCCCAAAAAGGAAAAATGGCACTGTGCCATTCTGTTCGTCCAAATGGAACCTGGTTTTGAAATTTAATTAAATTATTTACCAATTTAAATAGATTATCTGGTAATTATGTACCTTTCAATAGTGTGAACTAGAGCTCTTCTCCTGGTCTTGCAGTAAACAGAGGGAAAGTTTTCACAGGCAGCCAGATTGGATGCATCATGGAATAAGTGTATGTTGACTAGATCGATAACAGTCCCATTGATTTCCCAACGGGTTCGCATAAATCCCTTTCGCGACCATTTGCACTGAAGTTAGAAGAATATCTTCAATATTTTGTTAAAATTAGGAGTATGTTGTGGTCACCTCTGGAAAGAAATGCTGTGGGAACTTCGATTTCTCTTTGGTGGCTATGGTTTCTATGTTTCCGGAATATATATGCTTATCTTTGATATCAGAAAGACTTTCTTCCCAGCTGTGTGTTAAGAAATTCCATAACTTTAATGAAGCAACATCTTGATGGACAAAATAGAGACTTCCCAGCGCCTGAAATGGAAGAAAGTAGTTATATTTGATTATGTATATTTCATAATTATAAAGCAGATATTTTAGATTCGGAAAATCACATCTTTAGTTCTTTATGTAAATTTTCTATTAAATAGTTTTCCAACATAATGTATCAATATTTGTGGCTTTGTATGGCTTCAGCATGCTTATTCGGCTTCCAGAGAGCCCAATATTCCCTGTAATTTTTTCACAAAACGTAAAAAAGCCACCAGTTTCAAGCTTTCTGTAAATCTAAGAATTCCAATGCTTTGATTTAAATAAAAAACAGCCGGAAAAGGAATGCCATTCGTTTGATAGCAATATGTTTTATGCGTAAACAAAGACTTGATGGCTTTGGCCACGAACGTTGAATGAAATAGATACATACATTATTTATGCCCATAAGATTATATTAAGATACTCTGGCTATTTTGGTATATTATTGATTGACCCATTAGAACAATCATCAACATACAAAATGAGAGCCGCCTATTTAAATGTTAAAACTGATGATACACAAATTCTCGTTGGGTGCTTTCAAAGTGACCTAGAAACACGATTCTTCACTCACCGTGAAATGCTCGGCCGACTTGAAGTCCTCGTCCATGAAGATATGCACGCAGGTGTACGCCCCCATTTCGGGGTCATCGCACAGGCATTTGATGAACTCCTGGACATACTCCATGGACTTTTCGTACGTCTTCCCACCCACTTCCTGCAGATGCAGGGCCAGAAATCGCGGCTGGAGATGGGACACCTTCGCGAGGAACTCATGGAGCCATAGCTGCAGGAGTCTGTCCGGCTGCAAGAACACAATTATCGGAGATACAAGTTTAGTTTGTTTGCAAGCAGGGCACATAGATACATATTTATGTCAGTGGGTCCATACATAAATATGCGTATTTACGCATCAGTATGTATGTACCATACGTAAACATGTACGCGTCTTCCTCTCCGCGCACTCACATCCTCGAACAGGCTGCCCACGTTCGCGGTGACCAGCAATACATCGGTGCTGAGCCCGTCTTCCTGTGCTGCTTCCATTTGTTGCTCCTGTTTCCCCAGCGATGCAACAATTTTATTGACTTTTCCTTAGCTATCTCCAATTGAAAAATGTAAATACTAATTGGCAAAAGGCGCAGTGTGGCGGTGCTACCCGACTAAAATTAGGATATTTTGTTCGTTTTTTAGTATTTTTCTATGGGCGTTTTCGCGGGTCGAATATGATATTTAAATATTTGGCGCCAGCTTCCCATTTATTTATGGTTAAGCTTAAAGGTGTTACGAAGGTTGGGTTAACTTTATCTAGACATTGGAAAATCGGTCTTAGTAAATGAAAAATAACTTAAAAAAGGTAAATAATTCACTGATATTTGGCAATATAAAATATACAATGTATAACAAAGTTTAGTTTGTTGTTAAAGTTTTATTACATGTACATAACACATATTTAAAAATTTAGTTAAATAATTATATGTTTTCAGTGTTCCTATAATTAAATATGAATAAATGCATTCCCAAATTATGAATTCAAGCTGTGCTGTAGCCCATTAACCAAGTAAGAGATTCATAGTTTATGTTATGAGCATACCCGGAAAAGGAAATCGGTTTTTGGGCACAGTTTGTACTCCCAATAATACATAGTACTTGAAAGGTATGAAAATGTTTGTTTTTGTAAGACATAACAAGACTTTTTGGAATATGCTATAAAATAGTTAATAATTAGCCAGTTTAGTTTTACATAAGGCCATAAAAAAGTAAAATTTGTATCGAGAAACTTATATGACATAGAAAAAGACTGCAATAAAGTTAACAATCAACGTTGGTCTTAAGAAATTATGCCTCAGATGGTCTCTACTCTGATTATTCTGAATTCTTTAATAAAGTATTGAATTTAGAATAAGTGACCCATTTATTTATCATTAATTAATTAAAATTAAAAGTCTAGACATTTTAATTGATCAAATAAATGCACCTGTTAAGTGTTTTAATGTGTAGTTTAAAATGTGTGTCAGTTATGCAAATCGTTTCTTCCCACAAAACAAGTTTTGACAGTTTGTCAAAATAAAGTGGACAAAAACTCAAAACCCCATTCACAGATACTATATAGGCTTCAGTAGCTAAATCCAGCCCTTTTGAAAGTTGGCTAGTGAAAGTTATATTGAACTTTTTGTTACCTCTCTTTCGAAATCTCGGAACGCAATCCAACCCAGTGCACGTACCATGAATACTGAACAGCACACGTGAGCCGACGGTTGGTAGCCACATTTCTTGAAAGAATACACAAGTGATTCAAGACCCTACGGGGAAAACGAAATGGCAGTTATAAATACTTGCACATACTTATACATCCGTGGTCGGCCAGATATTTTCTTTGCAACAAAATATTTTCTGTTCGAAATTTATAAAGCCAACGGACGGCGCGAAAACCGTTTATTGTATTTTTAGGAACCGTTTAATTCATATCTTACCGCGATCGTCAAAATGCGGAATACATACCTTTCCGTTCTCATTTGCGCCTTCTGCATTTGCGCATGTGTCGCGGTACCGGATAGCTATTCCGGGGATGTCCAGAACTCGAATTCATTGGATTTCGGTGCGTGAAATTTGTAAAAGGATTTAAGAAATTCCAATCAAATCGCCAAAAAATCCAATAAAACTTTATATTTCGGAGATTATGTGTTATAATACTTGATTTCTAAAAAAAAGTGTGACATTTATAAGACGTGATCTTGAAATTTACTGCTCTAACGACCAATAAATGATTAAAAATTGTTTATCTAACATACTTTTTAATAATCAAATAAGAATATCAGTTTTAAAAAAAGCAAGAAAGGAAGCTACATTCAAAAATCTAAATTTAAAGAACTCATCGATTAATAGGTTAAAAAAGCTGCATTCTTATTTTAATATTTTAAAAAATTTTAATTTTTGCAAATTTTTGACAATTTTAACGATAACCCCTTATACATTTTTGAAAAAATGGGTCAACATTTTTTTTCTGTCTGAAATGGCTAAATGGACTTGGCTTTTGATGCTGATCAAGACTATATATAATTTATAGGGTCGGAAATGATTCCTTTACAACGTAACAAGCTTTTTACTAGTATTATAATAATACTTGGATTCTCAAAGGATTTATTATAAAGATATTACTTCAGCTAAATTATTTAATGTTTCATCTATTAATTTGCGTTGATTTATATTCTATAATTATACAGGCAATGACAGTGGAGCCTATAACTATAATCCGCCTCCCAGCAACAGCTACCTTCCTCCAGCCACGCCTGCACCTGAGTATCTACCGCCGCAAAACAATGGATATCAATATAACCCACCTCCAAACAACAATTACCTGCCACCCCCGCCTGAATATGGAGCACCACCTCTTGGCTATCCTCAGTACGGTCCACCACCTCCTCCTTTTTATAAGCCAGCTCCTCCTATGCCCTATTCGCATGACTCCTGGTTTCTGGAAAAAATAAAGTCCAAGATCAATTTGTATACGCTCGGAAAGATATTGATAAAGCTTTTGATATTCAAGAAAATTGTCAAGTTCATCGGCCTGATTTTCTTGCTATTGGTAGTTCCAAAGCTGAAGAACCTCTTCAAAGAGGATATGATGTCTTCGGGGTCTGGCGAAAGTGACGGAATGGAAAGTAAATTTGTGGAAACCGATAAGGGTAAAAAGTTTTTTAAAATCCGTTCTTCGATTGAAAGTAATAATTTCTTTCTTTTCAGATAAATTAACACAGCAAATCGAAGATCTGTACGATTTTGTAATAAATTCAATAGAGAATTTTGAAGGAAGGAGAGTGTAGAGGAACGAACCAAAATTAGATTATAAGTATTGTTAAAAATTGTATTACAACCCAATTTGATAATTTATTTGTTAGACTCTTTCTTATAAATAAATTTAATAGTATATGTTCAGATTGAATCTAACTTAATTGTTGGGTAAGTTAAATAATCTGTTTCAAATCAAAATCCGTTACAACTTTTTTTGCAGTATATTTTTTACTTGAGTTTATTTTAGTATATTTTAAAGCCGTTGGTATATTTAAGCGGTCAAGCTACGGTCATACTCATTTTAAGTCCGATCAGATTTTTGGTGATCATCTTTAAGATTTCTCTTACCTGGAACACCTGTTGCTGCAACATAATGCTGCAGTTAATATTCATAGTTGTCGTAGGCCTTTGCTTGGGTAATGTTACTGCCCAGGAGCTGCGGCGTGTGGACGACACCGAGTTGATTCAACTCCTAACCGGCGAAAGCAACGTTGTGGTTTTATTCAGTAAGTACATGTGTATAAATACATACATACTTAAAAATGAAGTCCAGCCTACGTGGTAATAGATATGTTTGTATTTGCACCAGCTACTGGTCGCCTATTTATGGTTAATACATGTACATAAATTGCAGCCACGAACAAAAACAATTGCAAGCGCTGCTTTGAGTATGAAAATGTGGTCTCGAAGATACATCCGCAGTTGAAGGAAACTTTGTCCGCCATTGTTGTCCAGTCGGTGGACAGCAACCTGGTGTCCATCTACGACCCCAGTAAAGAGCCCGCGCTGGTGTTCTTTAGACGCGGAATTCCCATCCTTTATCATGGCGAGGTGAATGAGGACGAGATCCTGGACTTTTTTAACGACAACCTCGAGCCAGCGGTTAAAGAGCTATCCGATGACAACTTCGAGCACCTAACACAGGCCTCGACGGGGGCCACTACGGGGGACTGGTTTGTCTTCTTGTAAGCTATATTAGTCATGCGTTGAGGTCGACGTTGTCTAAGCGCAGCGCCATAAAACATCGAAGTATGTATCTAAACCTACGCCCACTTCTAGCTATTCCGCTGAGTGTACCGTCTGTCAGCGGCTATATGCCGTTTGGGAGTCCGTGGGCGGAAAGCTCAAGCGAAAGCTGAACATCGCTCGGATGAACAGCTTGGAATCTGGCATCTCAACGGCTAAGAGACTAGGTGCCCTGGAATCCCCTGCTTTTATTTTGTGAGTACTGCATAAATAATTAGTATTGCAAATTGTTTTATAATGACTTCATTCTTACAGCTTGAGGCAGGGAAAAATGTACAGGTACATGGCCAAACAGTACACTCCGGAAGCCTTCGTCCAGTTCGCGGAGAAGGGATATCTGACACAAAGCCATCCTCAGCCAGTGCCGGAGATACCGAGCGCCGTGTAAGTTATTTCCCATAACTCCAACTGCTCTTGCACATCTCCATCGATCGAATGTTAAACATAAAGTCCGATTATGACCATTTTATAGGGATTTGTGAGAGACTCATGCATGTCTTTAGTAAGTGAGCCAAGATAATTATTAATTAATATGAGTTCAAACTAATTTCAATAATTTAAATCTATTTAATTTAACAATTAATGAGTTTCTAGCCCCGGTGAAAGGTTGCGTATAACGTCAAGTCAAGAACATTACGCCAAATATGATTTTACACAACGATCCAAAATATCAATGCAAATCTTAATCTTAACCTTTGTAAATTATCCATAACGTAATCATTAATTTGTATATAAACACTTATAATCAATACGGACCCCGGGTAAAACAGCTCCTGGTTCAAGAAGATCGACTTTAATCCCAAAAAACATTTTTTAACTGGAAGTTTAAATTATTAGCACTAAATTTTAAATTCTCATGTCTTTCAGAAACGATTTTTTGGGTCCCCTTCAAAGTTATTTGAAAGCTGAAAACATCCAATCGCTGGCGGCGGTGGGAATTGTCGCATTGGTCGCCGTTTTATATCTTGTTAAAAAATTAACGAAACTGTTTAGTTCGGAAACAGCAGTGAAAACTAAAAATAAGTCTAAGTAAACACACATATTTTCAAAATGATAGTCTTTTTCTCGAAAAAAGTCCATTATAAAAAGAATATGTTATACATTTTTGTGAGGGTAAGATTAAATTTGGTTTAGTGACCGCAGAAACAGGAAAGCAGGTTGCCTTAGCCAGGGAAAGTGTACTAGAAGATGAATTATCAAATAGGATATTATTTTTGTATAAAAAAGGAAAAGCAAAAACTTTTGAAATCAAAAATAACCAAAGTGAGCGCCAAACGAATCGAGCAAAAACTGCAATTCCTAACGCCTCAGCCCTGCAACGGAACGTCGGAACAGAAACAGTTGCAGACACGTTTATATCGTCGTGCAGAACGGCGGAATCGATACGTGGTCGGAAAGATCCCAGAGTTTCAGTTTATTATTCCGCAATATTTAACAAGCCAATTAATTAGGGTCTAAACAGAACGAAAATATTTGTGTGTGCGCGTTCGTTCAGCCGTGCCGAGTGAGGCTAGCAATCTAGCCAATTAATTTGAGTGTGCGATGATAATAGTTTGGCGTGGAACACTCAATTTGAAACATCGTTTCGTTTCTTAACGCGTAATTTTCGCGTTCATTCCCCTCGACTCTCGTTTTTTGGGGTTTTCGCCGCTCGTACTTCTGGGAATTATTTTATCATACTGCATTTGCATCTCGGGTAATTCACTCAAAACACAGCCACTGCTATTTATATACACGATTCGTGCAAAAAACGGTGCTCACTAAATGTCATTTGACGTCAGAAGGTCTTGAAACGGGAGAGCAGTCGGTATGTACGAGTGATATGTACATATGTATGTACATACATAAAGTGTGTGCCTTGTACATGGGCCAGTGAGAACGGGCAAGAGCGCGAGAGAGAGCGATCGAGAGAGCAGCAAAAACAGTGTTGCCAGGTGATCGCTTTATTCTGAGCAAAAATAAGCTAAAATTTAAACAAAATTGATTTTAGTACAAAAAAAACTTGGTCCGGATACAGGATTTAAAGTATTAAGGAAATTTTCTTCCGCTTTAGTATTGAAGAACGGCAAGAAAAGCATTTGAATTAGAAAAACGCAAACCATTAGCAAAAAAAAGAAAATGCATCTATAAAATAAATAATTGATATCTCAAAAACGAAAATATTTAAAAAATAAATAATTTAACTATGCTAGACCTAGCACCAAATAATCCAAGCTGGCAACACTGTTCGTTATTGAATTGAGTTGATATTTCGGCTGTGGCAATGCTTGCTATATATTCGCCTGTAGTCAAGCGCACATGAGTCAGATTAATATTTTGCTTTTGTTCAGTTCAGTTGCTGAGTCCGAAGATACTCAGATACTCGTTGCCAGCCAAACCGTACTGAAGTCGACTACTCATGTGCGTACTCACGTATAAGGCAGTTAAAAATGTGCAAACATACTACCATATGTATGTGGTGAAGAGTGCCAGCATTAATCGCATTTTTCTCCTGCACGACGACTAGAAAATCGCGTGAAAACAGCGGAACTTAGTGTATTGTGTAAGTTCATTGGCGGTGAAAGATGAAAAGTGTCATTCCTAAAAATACACCTCGTCGTCGTCGGGAATAAGTCGCATAAGGTCGGTCTCCGTAGCATAGCCAGTCGCCACAAAGGAAGCATAGTGCGCAGCAGGGCAGCGCCATCATGACAGTGACTAACTCACCACCCAAAAAGGCAGCCCAAGTACAGAAAATCGATATTCTAGTCGCGCTGTAACGCCGTGCAAGAGTGCCTACCTGAGCTCAGGCACAAAGGCAGCGAACCGAGCCGCGACATTGGTATACCGAATACCTTCTTCCGCTCTGAAGATTCAGATACAGTGTACGCTGGCTGGACTATGACCATATCCATAGCATATCGTGTAGCTCCGCAGCTGCTAAACAACCATCTGTGATACGTGTACCTAAAACTAAACATAAAGTCATACATAAAAGCCTATAGTTTCCGAAATGAACTAGCCTGAACCGATCGCTACTGCTTCTGGGAAATTAACCATGCGTCTTGTCCGCAGTAAATGTTGTCAACGTGATGTATCCGACTATCTGACCACCAGCTCCTCCTCCACCTCCTCCAACACGCACACCGAGGTACACACCAAAAATATCTTTACGCGCTACTGGGACGACCACTTAAAAATGAAAGAGTCAACGAGCGAGGAAAAGGCCAGGGGCAAATCCATCGCCTCCACGGTAACAGCGACATCAACACCTGCCAAAAATACCACCACTACTACAACTACTCAGAGCGTCACCTTTGTCCGGAGCAATGCACCAGCTGTTTGCGACGCCAACGGGAATCCCAGGGCGGCTGAGACCGAGTGGACATTCCCCCCGAAGGCGCCAACTCCGCACATCTACAATTGCCTGAGCCCCGTAAGTGCCCACCCAATCACCAGTTCCCCAACTATCCCGTGCAGATTATCGTGGCGCAGGATGACGTAACGGTTATTAGATACTCCCCGGGTGACCGCCCATATAGTATAGAGCTCCTAGTGTGGGCTTGCTCGTGTCTGAGTCTGTGTCTGTGTGCGGCAGATAAAGAGGAAACAAAAATTATTTGCACTCCAACACAATTGCCGTCTAAATCATTAGTATGTATGGAAGTATGAACGGACTTACGAACATTTTGACTGTAGATTTATGGGCCATAAACAGGGCGCATTCAGCATTCATAAGATTCGGTTTTAACGGTCATTGTGGAAGCGATAAGATCGGCTGAAAGATCACTTGAGCAAATATGAATGACTGCTGGAGTGGTGGGATATGATATCCGCGAATCTTTAGTTACCATCTGAGTTCGTTTTGTATCTTTTCTTTGTTGCGTTTTTAATTTCCGGGTTTTACTTTCACCTTAATTGTTAACCTTGTTAGATGTTTTTTTCGAGCAAAACATTTACTCATCAGCTTACGGGAATTTTTGGATTCAAAGAACCCTGGAGGTCGCTTCCGAATAGTAATACATTCCGAGAATTCCAAAACGATTCGAATGACGTAGAACTTGAGTTTGGCGATAAGCGTAAACCGGACTGGGAGCTTACAAAGTAAACAAGAAAGAAACCATCCATCGAAAGGCCTAGTCTTGAACTTAATCTTAGGGCAAACCATACATCAAAATAAAAATAGTATAGGGAATTGAAAAGGTTTTCTAGTGATAACAATGGGTTCCTTTCGCTATTTTCGGAGTAGCAACGCGTAGCTAATTCGCTATAACTGCTCAAGATAAGGTTTTTCCAAGAAGTTTCCCTACTTTTATAATGTTATTTAGTACTATATTTCTATATCAATCTAATAAAAACATTTCTGGTTCTTTCTGTTTCAGGACATGATGGCGGCAAGTGATAAAAACAGCTTTAAAGGTTTTCGCAAGCAATTCAGTGGACGGTTTAAGCGCTTAGTGACTCGAAAAGTGGAACACACTCCAGTGATACCTCCAGAATTGAAGCCGCAACTTAAAACAATTTACGTTTATTAACTTAAGATGCAACGACTATTTGCAAGCACAAGTGTTTTCTTCAATGTCTACATACGTACACCAACCACCAACAGCAACACCACCACCACCTGTGTATCTATAAATGGCAGGAAGCATTAGTGATAGGACAAGCAAGATATTTTTAAGTTATCATAATACCATTCTGATTGACAATTTTAAGTATTCAGCGATTCGTGCGTATTGTTAGGCTCAATAAAAAAAAGAACATTTCATAAGACAGACGGCGACAACATTTTAATGGACTCGGTTCCCTGGGTTATATACTAGACATATCACATAAGTTTAGCGGCAACCTTTTATGCTAATATCCTTTGATGTTTCAACGATGTCCTATTTGTGTTAAACTTCCAACCTATGTATGTATGTATGTGCTTACCAAACTAAAACAATAAAAAGATGTAACAAGAGTTCCCTCACTGCGTCCCAACACTAACTTGTATTTAAATTACGATTAAAGTTGAAAAAGAACTACAGCAAGTGTAAAAATTCTTTACGTTTGGATATGCAAACAAGGGAATCCAGCAGGTTTGTTCTGCTTTCAGAAAATTTTAGTTTTTCTGTTTTTTTATACCCTTGCAGGGTATTATAATTTTAGTCAGAAGTTTGCAACGCAGTGAAGGAGGCACCTCCGACCATATAAAGTATATATATTCTTGATCAGGATCAACAGCCGAGTCGATCTAGCCATGTCCGTCTGTCCGTTTCTACGCAAACTAGTCTCTCAGTTTTGAAGCTATCTGAATGAAACTTTGCAGTTAGCCTTCTATATACTCTCACTCGTATATATGTCGGAACGGGCCGGATCGGACGACTATATCATAGCTGCCATAGGAATGATCGGATAATTTTCACAAAAAAAAATTATAACAATTTCAGTTTTCAACAGAATTTGATCAAATTTAAGATATAGTCATTTTACTATACTCTACAATTTTGTATAAAATTTAATGAAAATCGGACAACTATATCATATAGCTCCACTAGGAACAATCGAGAAATTAAGACAATTAAAAATTATAACATTTTCAGTTTTCAACAGATTTTCATCAAATTTGAGGTATAGCCATTTTATATCAGTCTTAAATTTTGTGTAAAATTTTATGAAAATCGGACGACTATATTATATACATAGGTGCCATACAAACGATCGTTAGATGTGGAGAAAAATGCACATCTGTGACTGTAAAATTGCTATGTAAAGGTGAATGAAATGAAAGCAGGTATTACTTCATTGTTTTTTAACACAAATAAATATAATTTATATTGTTGGGATTCCAAGTCATAGAAGTTCTATCTGCAAGGGTATATAAACTTCGGCGTGCCGAAGTTAGCTTCCTTTCTTGTTATGCCAAATTTTAGTTGTAGAGTTTAGGGATTGCTGAAAACCAGCTGCTGAGACGAATCGTCAAAAACGTTAAAAGAAAAGAAAAGAATTTGCTTCTACCATCATACTCAAAGAATGTAGCATCGATAAGATTAAGGTAACAAAGTGGATATGCCTCGTTGAGCGATGGGCTGGAGTATATATTTTTGGACTAATTTTTATATGACTCGGAAGATACCCCATGTTATTGAAAATACTTTTATTAACAGGCTGTCTCTGGGTTCTGTTTGAAAATAAGCCAAGTACCTTATGATAGTGGCAAAAACTAACTTACTTTTTAGGCAAGAAAACATTAAAGCCTTAAATTACCGGCTTTTACAATTTACAGCATAACCAGGTAACCAGGTGACTTATTTCAAGCCAGCTTTATTACCAATAGAAAACAAGATACTAAAATGGCTGACATGTGTATGTACATATACATAGCCGCAAAGTAACAGTCATACTGTTTATCGATTTGTTATATTCAAAAAAATCTTAGTAATTAAATAAAATGCTTATTTTATTCCAATCTAAACATACATACACACAAGCACACGTCTCTATATACATAGTCAAGTACTCGTATATATAGTTCCAATGAGCGGAGACGCGGTCAACAGTCATAATCTACGTTAGTTCCTGGTTGGTTGTGGTTGTGGTTGCGCTGCTGCCTGTGCTGCTGCGGGTACCAGTCTCTTTAGGGTCTCTATTGCTGGGTCCAGGGCTACTGTCACTGCTATTTGGTTGGGGCACTGTTGTCTCTTGGCTGGGCTTGTTGGATTCCTCGGCCTGCTGGCTAGATTCAATATCTGTCTCCCCACGAGTCTCTTTGCGGGTCCCTGGCGACGCTTGGTCCTCCTCATCTGAGGCTTCCACGCTGGAACTCGAGGGATTCGTCTGGAACCAAAGATGGAGAAGGTTATGTTATACTTTACTTAGTTGCTTGGCTAGGACTCACCTGATTCCGGCGTTGCTTAAACTCAAGTAACTTATTCTTACGCTCCTCCCGCATTCGCGTAAGTCGCATTAACAGGGTATAGTGCTGCTCTACGCGATGTAAACATGTTTTGCATATGGTTTTTGGCAAGGGATCAGTCGGAGAAATCTGTTGAAAAGTATAAGAACAAGGACTTACTTGGAGCTGATTGTTTAAACAAATATTTGTTGGGTTTGTTTTGCGGAAGCCGCTTTCCCCCAATGGCTTCTCGGGGACACACGCCAAAGTGGTAGACTGTGCACATGGATGGCACCAACCCCTAGGAACTCCAATAATTGGCAGTACTCACGGTTATTGGGAGGTAGCCGTTGATTTTCTCTACAAGACACAGACGTTGGCCATGATCACCATAAATATGTATCACTGTTCGGTGCATTTCGGAGCAGAGTCGGCACAGGAATCCGGATATACACGCCTTTTCGATGCTACCCATGGCTGACTATTTTGTTGTCCTGCCAAAGTCCTTGCAATTGATGCGATATCCGTTGATTCAGAGAGCCAACCAAAACAACTTTCCAAAAATATATCGCATTAATACTTTTCGGATAGTATTTGTGTTGTGTACATATGTTGCCACACAAGGGTTGTATTTCCGATTACAGCAGCAGGCAGGTTGCCAACTTGTTTTTCGTTGCTTCCTAGACAGTTCGATAGTTCAATAAAAAAGTAGATAATTGCACTTTCCGTTCTGCTGCACATATTTCCAGCTGGTGAAAGCCATATGATTTAGTGGAATTGAAACACAAAAATATTTTGCAACCGTAGTTTGCTTGAAACTCTGCTTTGGAGTGTTAAAATTACATTTAATTAAGTCTTAAATAAATTTATCTACATTTTTCATAAGGAATAACTGTTTTCATAATGTTTTCTGGTGAAAATAGGCAGGGACCATGTGGAATTAGAACAGAATAAATGTAAAAAGAGTAAATATATTAAATTTAGGCGATTTGTCATGCTAATTATTACAATATAGAATGAGCTTACTTTAGCTAGAGATTACCTTATTCAAATATTAGGAAAAACCATTCAAAAATACCGCTTACCATTTATTAATAGCAGTGGACCATGTGGAATTAGAACAAAAATATACTTCCGTCCATATTACACCGATAGTAGTATTAGTATCCAAGGTTTTCATGATATACAAATAATAGTAACTTGGAAACGGTATTAGCCTGGTATGATATATTTATTCTATTTTTATAGCTAGGGGCTAGGGCTTTCAAAAACCGTACAATTTAGTTCCACCAAAAAACAGCTTATCATGTAAGAAACGCCTGAAGTGTCTCAAAAGATATAGATGCATTATTTATAGATTTACTATTTGGTATAGAGAAGCTTTTAAAATTTGTACACAGGGGAAAACCAGGATCTACCATAAGAAGCGACTGGGTTTTCTGATTCGACAATCCAAAAAAAACCTCGCCTTGGACCTCAAAAGGTATTTTAACTTTTACATTTGGCGATCTCTGGATGGTGTTCAAAAGTTCCATATGACAGGTATTCGCACTTTCGCCAAAGAACACTCCGTCCAAGTCATTATCGGGAATTATTTGAAACTGCGGGATTCCAGCGTTATTCAAAATTTTGCAGGTGAATACGCATTTCTTCCGCGGGTCCTTTGGATGTGCGTAGATTCTGGTTGCCACATAGCCAACTGGATAGATCCAATTCTCGTTGTGAAAGTTAGGATTAACCGATATTATCTCGCCCAGAGAGTGCAGCAATATACTGTTCAGGTTCATGGGAAACGCAGACTTCTTTTTCCGTACGATAGCCACACTTTTGGGGTTATTCTCGCTGGATTTCTTTTGCACAACCACCGGCTTGTTTTTCTTCGCTGATCCACTATTTTCAGTCGCCTCGATTTTTCCATTGGTTACACCAGGGCGTGAACTGTTTGGTTTTTCCAGGCCCTCGTGAAACATCAGCCGTTCAATCAAGTACAGCCTCTGGCTTCTGGACCGCGACAACTCGGCCTGGAGGTGACAAATCTCATCGGTGAGGGAGGCGTTTTCCTATTAAATAACACAAAAATAATTAGTAAAATAGATTGATCTTAGCAGCTACAGTGATTATGTATGTACATATGTATGTTTGTACATCGTGCTAAGTGAACGAATTTTGACATTAAATATGCCATTATATCGTGGTTTGTTGTCACTTACCAGCAGATAACTCTTAATGGAGCGCTTAAGGCTTTCGTACCGCCGCTTATACTTTAAATTCATGGTTTTTTAATTTATAAATATAGCAAAAACCACCGACGTCGTGAAGAGTGATGTTGTTGACGTTGGTTTGTTTTGGTTATCGGACTGCAGGGTTTCTTGATTCAAGCTATCGATAAAAACAGTTTGGTATTAAAATTTCAAGAAATAATACGACAAATTTAGTTTCGGTATTTTTATTTATTTACAAAAGCAAACATCACTATCTAATCTTGATTGATTTGTTAAAATTAAATTTAAAAAATGTCACTTCAAATATTTGCACATGCCAAAGTGTGTGGCGTCTATTTAATGCAAAAATAGGTGTTAAGCGTTGAGGAGTTCAAAAGTTCCCACTTACCTAATCGCAATCTAATGAAAACTCGATTAATAACAACCTTGCAAAGGACATAGTTATGCTGAAAAAGGGTAAATTCTGGCGCTCAGAAGCAAGGATATTCGAGAAATTAAGGTAAATACAAATAAATATGTTCCAAAAGGTTTTTAACTGCTAAGAAAACTAACAACCGTTGGCTATATTGCGTAGAAGAACCTGTCTGCATGGTAGGTTACCACACTCACAAACTAGCCCTAACAGTTTTCTGCAACTGTGTGTGTGTCAAAGAAGCCATTCTTGAATGGAACCTATGGTTTAATCTATCTAATTTCCAATCTAATCTAATTAAATGCATTTCCAAAAGGGGGATTTCTTTTAAAATATAAACAATAATATAGGCCCGAAAAAAACCCATCGATCACCATGGTAACAAGCAGGTGTCGGTATGTTTGTTTCATCGTTTCTCCCCCCTTCCTTTCTTTCGGCAAATGTTAGTGTGAGCCCACAAACATACGAATTTATATATGTATGTACATAGGTAAATATGATGTGTGCTAGTGTGTACGGAAGAGCGTGCGAAATGCCACTGAGAAAAATCTACGTCGGAGAGAAGCTTTATGAATCACATCGTTTGTTCGGCATTATAAAGCCGTTAGTATGTTTTTGCACTCCGCTGACACTTGTTGGATTCTGTGTGCTGCTCCTTGGATACTAAACAAACAGCCTAAAACATGGACGAGGAACAAATGTGGAAGGGGTTTTTCTTTAAACTCCAAGAACTTAAAATGAATCCTCCGACGGAGCACGAAACACAGTAAGAGTAATGCAGCACCCACACACCTATTGAAAATTATTCAAAATTCGCATCTGTTCGTAGACATGTGTGTTTGTTTATCTCACCGAATAATACGAACATTTATGGAGCACGAGCACAGTGTGTCATAAGATAAATGAAATCTTTGAAAGTCGGATAATCATCTGTGTGCGTGAAATAACGAAAGTGATGTAAGGTCGGCATCCCAGTCCAAGCCCAAGCCCCAGATCGATTTTATATACTACACAAAATTGGCAACATGAGTCAGGTTACGGGGAATTTTGTAACCCGGCATTGAGTTGAAGTAATCCACAAATGAATGTACTTTTCCGGCAAACATTATCAAATATTTATTCTAATACTATTCATACACAATAATGACTAATTACTTGAATAATTAGACTCTAACAAAAAAGGCGATAATAGCTTCGGCAACTTAAAAATGCAAATATAGAATATCACAAGGTATTATTTACTTTTACTAATTGAGTTCACCCTTACAGGCTGCAGGATGTTGACGATGGATTCTTTGAAAAGTTTGGAGCCCTTTTGCGACAGAAATCTCAGATTGAGGAAGTGCCTCTCAAAAGTTCTTTGGCACCTTTCGGTGAAAATGGAGAGGAGGAGGACGCCGACGAAAGTCCCGATGGCACACTTGAACTTAACCAGGATCCAGAGTGCTCCAGCATCGATACTTTTACGACCGAAAGTGAACCGGCATCAGTTTCGGATAAAGATATTAGTGCCAGCGTTTTGGATTCGGCTCCTGTAATGAATGTAGGTATTCCTTAGGAATATATAATATATATTCAGATTAGAATTTATAATGTATGAACACATTAGGTTAGTTACTGATCGGAGCCATCAAAGACACACCTGAAACTAATGCATTTTCGGTTATTCCACAATTTAGTTACTATAGTTACTCGGACCGATTATTCTCCATGAATAGTTATGGTGAATATGGTAACCTCCTAGGCCTGGTCACATTGTAGGCCATTGCGAGACCCTCCCCCATGCTTAGGAAATCCCGCGATAGGTCAGTTCTCTGGGTTGCAGTGGAGCATAACGATCTAGGCGATTCCAATGCCCGTCGTCGTGCAATGTTTTATCTTATACCAACATTTTGCTGTTCGCATGTTTGCCGTCTGGGAAGGTGTATCTGCTTATAATTGAGCCGTTGAGCAAATTAAGTGGTTGTCCATAGAAACGGTCGAGCAATAAACAAATGAAGCTATAACTATAGGCTATTCCCGCGGACCGTGTAAACAGACTCAATAATGTATACTGACAGCATAAACAAGCACTGGCTGCGGAAAGGGCAAACATTCGCTCGGGGCTGGCCAATTGAATGGGGAGAAAAGCTTAATGTACTTTAGAAAATGTATTTTTCATTACCACCTTGAGCTTTTTCCTTTCGGGTATCCAAAAATAAAACATTTTCTCTTAAGATCGCCTTATTATTGCTCACAGACACTGCCCAACCGCCGTGTACATATGCACGAATACACTCGACTATTTAAATCGAATTGAGAGCAGCATACACTTTTTATCTCATGGTCAACGTCAAGATATTTCGGATATTGCCAAGATTTTCGAGACCGGACGCTGACCGTAAAGTACTTAGATACAGACTCTTTGCTCAAGCGGTTGGGAGTGGACGACGGAGTGCCTCCTTCTAGATCGATACAGTGTCCGTGATTATCCGTTCTCTTCGCGTTCTCAGATATGTGCGTCGTCCATGTCCATTCCGGATTGTTTTGTGCCAAAAGTTTTCCCAGCAATTGTTAAGAACACACACACAATTTAGTGGACTGATCAGTTAGTTAGTTGCAACCGTTGAACATGAGCTACCTGTCGTTGCCACGTGTTCTGAGCAAGTTCGGTTCCCAAAACCCGTCTAACCATAGTTCAAAAACCAATAGCCTCAATCGATCCCGCTCCCGGACCGGATGCGAGGAGAACCGACTGCCGATAAAGGCATCCTCGATGCAATCGCTGAAAGAGCCAATACAGAGACGAATATTGAACCGAAATGGGAGCATCTCAAGTCGGCATTTTCGGGGTGTCCACAAGCATTTACTTGACTCCCATGCAAAGGAGGTTTGCCATTCGATGACCGTAAGTAGAAGTCACCTAGTGAGATGTGCCAGGTGTTTTCTGTTCCATAATGAACATCCGACGCAGACTCTGAAAGTTTTTTTTTTAATATCATTATGTGTTTATTCTCATTGCCTAGGTAAACAAAGCGAAGCGATTGTATAAGTTCATTGATATGAGATTGTTGTTGAGTCATTCGAGTTAATATTTCTGAATTTTAAATATACACACTTTGCATTTTTGGCAAATACAGAACGTCTTGTGTTTGAAGATTGTCCGTAATTGAAACTGAAGAAAACATAATTTATGGACTAGTTCTGGGAACCAAGTTGTGTGCTTTCCTTATAGAAAGTACATCAATTTATGGGAAGATTGATTTGTGGTTTTTGCTGAGTCAATATTTATGTTTTCTAGAATTCCTAAACTATTATACTTTAGAGGGGAGTCCAGTATGACATCAGCTGTGTCTGGTTTTCCGCATTTTCCTGATGACGTATTTCAGTTTTTGCAAACATTTCCGATTACTGGAATTTGCTGATATTTACTCAAGCTTTGACCTTTAGGAAATTAATTGAATTCTATTTTTAATCAATTCAAATTAAAATGCTCTGCTAAATGTGGCTTTCGTCACAGATACTTTTTTTTTAATTTGTCTTTAAGGGATTTTGGGAGTGTTTGGTGCAACATTTCAGCTAATTTCTTTACTTTTACTCTTCTTTTAGGTTACAGACTTGTACGAGGAGATATTATTCGAAATCTACAACAATATTGGCTGTGAAAACAATGATGAGTGCACTGGCAGTCTGGTTGAGTTCGTCCAGGATGCATTCAAAATTCCGAATTCTACGCATTTGGAAATTAGCGAGGCAGCCAGGCTCAAGGAACCGCCCAATGTTCGATTAAATGTGGAGATAATCAAGGCCGAAAACTTGTTGTCCAAGGATTCCAATGGTCTCTCAGATCCGTTCGTAACTCTTTACCTGGAATCGAATGGTTCCCATCGTTATAACTCATCGGTTAAGCCCGCCACATTGAATCCTATCTGGGAGGAGCACTTTTCACTGTAAGTTTCTGATTTAAGGAGATGGTAATATATTAATTATAATTCTTTTTAGGCCTATTGCCGAAAATGCCCGGGATGAAGTCCTTATTGTTGAAGTCTGGTAAGTTTGACTTTGATTTAAAAAATATCTCTTAAAAATGCACTCATTTAAGTCAAGGTATCTAGCTTTATGAAATCACATTACGAGGAATTTTAGGTTTATGGTGTGAACCACACTATAAAGAAGGTATGGCATCTAAAAAACTATTATTTTATACCCTTGCAGGGTATTATAATTTTACTCAAAAGCTCATATAGCTGTGAAGGAGCCATTTCCGACCCTATAAATTAATTAATTATAATTTATTATTGACCAACATGAACAGTCGAGTCGATCTAGCTATATCTGACAACAATTTAATTTTTTCCAAACTTTCGAAACTTTATAAGGGGTTCCATCGTTAAAATGATCAAAATTTGACAAAATTTTAATTTCTTTAAATTGTAAAATAGGAATGCAGATTTATTTACGTAATAAAAACTAACGTGGGAATTAAAATTAATGATTTTTTGACTTAGTTATGAGGTTTTTAAATTTGATACCGATAAATATGTATTCTAAGATTGCTAATATGTTAAGCTTTTGGTATAATCGCTTTCCGACAAGATCCTATAATTTAAACTGCAAGGGTATTTAAACTTCGGTTTCACGAAGTTAGTTTCCTATCTTGTTTCTTATAATTTAGAAATATTTGTATCCATGATTTTAAGTAAGAAAATTAGTTTTGTAGTTAAAATTAGCATGTACATTAGTTTATTCTAAGTTAAATCTGAAATATAAATATAATATTATGTATTAAATCTGTTTCAGGGACTTTGATGCCGCGGAAACTGTCAAGGAAAAGGTCAACAAAATATTGGATGTCAAGGGCGTAAAGGGACTCAGCAAGTTGATGAAGGAAATAGCCGTGACAGCTTCCTCGGGCAAGCATGATAACGAGTTAATAGGCAGAGCTGCAATCACACTAAAGGTATGGACTATAAGTATTATTATTTATACATCAAAATCATAAAATCTTATTTTTTTAGAGCATACCCGTCTCAGGTCTTACCGTCTGGTATAATCTGGAAAAGGGCAGCAAGGGTCGGAGTCGCGGATCGCTTCTTGTGAACCTAGCCTTGAGTGCGGAGAAGAATAAGAGCGTGGCCGTGCAGGAGCACAAGAATCTGCTGAAACTCCTGCTAATGTACGAACTGGAAACGTCACAAGTGGCCAACTATTGGTGGAGCGGCAAGTTCAGTCCAAACGCCGAGCTCATTCGCTCCCAGCATGCTGCTCAGAGTGGACTAACGCCGTTTGACTGCGCCCTTAGTCAGTGGCACGCCTACAGCACCATCCATGAAACGCACAAGCTTAATTTTACGCTTTTCAATTCGATTCTGGATGTGCTGGTGCCGGTGATCAATGGCCTTCAGAATGACTCCGAGGATGTGAAAACATTTTGGGATGGAGTAAGGCGGCTCCTGCCCTCCTGCTTTGCCGTACTGCGGAAATTAAGGTCCCGAAACACGAGTGAGAAGAACATTATAAGGGCACTCAACGAGGTTCTGGATATTCTAAAAAAAATCAAGGAGTTCGAGGTGCCGGAGAGTATAGACATATTCCCCAAATCGGTGTACGGCTGGCTGAACGACACCGAGGAAACGTGCAATATAGACACTGCCATTATAGACGCTATAAATACTGGGACGAAGGAATGGCTGGAGCATATAGTCGAGGGCAGCAGGCAGTCCAAGAACCATGAAACAGACGACGATAAGCTGCAGTACATTATAAGACTTATACAAATGGTGCGCTCTGACCTTCAGCGTGGAATGGAGTACTTTGACAAACTATTTTACCAGTAAGTTGCTTTCTAAGTATATATATTAAATATTAATAATTAATTTGATTTAATATTTTTAGCAAAATACAACTCAACTATTCCGCAATACTCTACATTTTTTATGACTCAAAACTGGCCGAGATTTGTAAATCAATTATTATAGAAGTGTGCAATAACATTAAGAGATTGGATGTGCCAGACGATCAATTCGAGTATCTGCCCAATATTGAGAATGTGAATATGGGAACGACGCTCTTTGAAGTCTACTTAATACTCAAGCGATACGTCCAACTGGGTAATATCTTAGAAAAACTCTTCCCTTTGTTGAATTTATATTACTCTATTTATATTTTAGGTGAATCGATGTGCTCTGAGACCTTGGAATTGGCCAGCTTCTACCCTTGGTTCGAGAGAGGTGTTACCCACTGGCTAGATATATCCATAATTAAGGCTTTAAATCGTATTCAAAAGGCTATTGATTTGGATCAGCTTAAGGCAGTCGATGAGACCGTGAAATACAGTTCTTCGGCTGTGGATACCCTATCCATATTCTACCAAATTAAGATCTTTTGGCAACAGCTCGACTGGCCAGAAGTCGAGGGTTCGTACATATTTGTAGCCAAGATTGTCAACGTAAGTGGAAAAGTATTGGGTAATGTGCTTTTTAAGTTTATATATATGTTATTTTCAGGATCTGTGTAGATGTTGCATATTTTATGCTCAGCAAATGTCACGACGGGTTGAAAATATTCACTTGGGTGATAATAATAAGAATTTTGGTAAGTAAATCACTAACATTTCTATTTACATTACTGAAGTTAAAATATTTGGTTTATTTAATCAATAGTTTTGTCGGAAGAATGGTGCATAGCCATTAATAATATGGATTACATACGTCAGAGCTTACCTTCCTTTATAAAGGTAGGTCTAACTATGGATGAACTTATATCGATGCTAAAAAATATCCACTTTTTACACTAGGAACTCAACATAGATGATATTATTAAGAGATTGGGAGAATATCGGACAAATTTGGAGGCTGAACGATGCGCTACGACTATCAAAACTGTCATTGAAAATGCACTGGACACGGAACGCAATCAAATCGTCGAACTCATTGAGATTGTGGCCCGAAAAATGGCACCACCGATTAAACGTTACCTTGCCGAGGGTGCGGAAGTGCTCGCCAAGGACTCCAACTCCATGGAACAGCTGATGATGTATTTGGAGGGTTCACTAACCACGTTATACGATTCCCTCAACGAAGTTAACTTTGGCAGAATACTAGACGCCATTTGGTCAGAGTTATCCATAATAATGTATGACCTTATACAATCCAATCTCGATGTAGGTGTATTTATTTTGTTTTTACCAACTAGCAGTTAAACAATTTAAATTCTTTTTATATTCTAGAAACGACGACCGCCAGCATTCTTTCAGAATTTAAACAACACCCTGCAGACCATGATTGATTGCTTCAAAATGGGCAACATTGCGTCCTCGGACGTGAAGATTCTGTCAAATATTCAGAGTAGACTGGAGCTTTATTCCATGGAAACAGCAGATCTTATTCATCAGTATTATATGGAGCGATTGGAGAACCAAAAGAGCCAAGACTCGTCTCCCTTTGGCCAACTCACAGTGATGGCTCAGTTAACTGAATACGGTTTATTGGTAAGCGATTATATATTTATTTGTTATAAATAAACCCTAATAAGTTCTTTATTTTTCAAAGTTAACTATTTTAAATGCACGCAACCTGCTCTCCATGGATTCAAATGGTCTGGTGGATTCATTTGTCAAAGCCAGTTTCATGCCCACAAGTCGATTTAATGATTTATCGCCAGTGAAAACTAACGTTCATAACAAGAATTGTTTTCCCCTTTACGATCAGGAGTTTCGTATGTAAGTAGTTACTTTTTATTTAAACAAAACAAAGATTATAGATTCAACCTGCCACAGAAACTTGAGTGAGCATCAGCGCAATGCCAAGAACAGCCTGATAGTATTCAGTATCAAGGATAAAGATCTATTCGGAATGTCCAGTCAATATATAGCCGAATGCTATATTTCATTTGGCGATCTCGATGCACTGCAAGGCGAGCAAATAATGATGAATTTATCCAGGCCAGAGTACACAGGTAACTACTTTATTTAGTTTAAAAACTTTCAAATGTAATTAAACATTTAATTTATTTTGAAGATTCCGATTCCCTGCGAGCCCTGGAATACAGATTAGGTGATAAACAAGCCAAGGAATTCCTGAAAAAACTAAAGAACAGATCATTTTCTTAAACAATTATAAAAAAAAATATATATATATTGTTGTAAACAAAAAGCAATAAAAATATATTTTTATATTTTTTAAAGAGATTTAAGTTAAAAACTTTTGATTTTTGAATGGACAGAAAATTTTAAAAATAATATTCCCTTTGTATAAATTCTTTGTTCATTTACTTTTTATTGGAACAGAAACCAACATGGCATTTTAAGGTATAAATACATAACACTCACATTTTTACGATTAGTCATCTTTTTGAATTGATTTTGTAATAAATAATATTCAAAATTGATTTGTTCATTAAAATAAATTATTATAGGGTTTGATTTTAAGCATAAGTGATTAACACATTATGATCTAATGGCAGAAACTTTTATGGCTCTAGTTCTGGCCGATGATGTGCACTTTACTGGCGGCGACGGGTATTACGCTGCTTATCGAAGCGCATTTCCATTTCTTCAAGAACCTTGGGTGTATAGCGTACCACCAGCTTAACGGATCCAATGGCTTGCTTCAAGAGTTCCACAGCCTTTTCGTGGTTTTCGCCTTCAACGGACTAAATTTTAAAACGATAATAAATTAATTCATATGGGGTTTTCCCTCGATGTCCACTTCTAACCCAGACTTACCACTCCGTTGACAGACAGCAGTTGATCGCCTCTCTTGAGACCTCCATGCCTATCAGCAACTCCCCCGGGTATTATACGGGAAATATAGATGGGCGAATTTTGTTCCTTGCCTCCCATTACGTTGAAGCCCAAGCCTGAAAGAAATAACATATATAAAGGTGAATCCAAAGTTAGGTTGAAGCCAAACAAATTTTTTTAGGGCGTGTCCATAGTCATATCTAAGCTAGCTCTATTTATCGCTTTCAGTTTAATTAGGAGATTCCTAGATGACAATGTCTTACCCTCCTCCGTTTTGGGTAACTCCACCACTCGGGGATGTGCGTGACCCTCGCTGGCTGCAAAGGCGGCCACTGTGGCCTTGGCTGTGGCAGACGCCCGAACGTCGTGGGATCCCTGGATGTCCACCGTCTCGTAGACATGTTCGTACACCTCTCGAACGGACGTCATGAAGTCGGAGTTGAGCACCTTCTGCAGGGCAGCCAGTTTTGTAGTTGGGAAGTCGCCACTGGCCTGCAGTTTTTCCAAGAGCTCTATCGATCTTTTTACATCTGAAAGTGGGTTTATAGGTTTATTCAACGTGAGTTTGCTGGCGATGGTCAACGGAATTCCAATCCTTACCCCGGGACAAAGTCAGTGGTTCCGCGTTATCGGCCATGTTGTAGAATCTTAAGAATATTCAGCTAAAAATTAACCTGAATATTATTCGAGAATACTGAGCTGAAAATTAATGGTGTGACCAAGAATGTCAAGGAAAATCACTTTTTTAAATTGTTTCACACACTTTGGTATATTCGAATAAGTAAACCCATGGTCATATTGATTTAAAATTATTTTCAGAAGAACGTAAACAATTTAAGAAAAGTTAATAAAATGAGCTTACCGGCAGCACTTTTGCAGCGTTTGAAGAAGAGGGGACTGGTATCAAAACAAACAGGTAAGTTTATGCACATGTGATATAAAAATCGTTCCTCAAAACTCTTAAACAAGTATTTTACCGACATGGAAATTAATAGAGAAATAACCATCTTAATTCCAAGGAACCACACCGATATCAGAGGCTATAGAAGAAATTATAGCTGAAAACTATGACGATGATGATAAGGGCGCCCCGTACACACCATACAAGGAGGAGCCGGAGCCCAAGCGCAAGAGTGTCGAGGAACAGTTCTGGTCGCACCGCATCAAGGAAAGGATTGGCGTAAACGAGTCACACCACGGTTACAAGCTGTGCCCTAACAAGTACAACATCTGGCACAAGTGCTCGCTCTACTGTGTCAACAAATTCAACAGCACCCCGCACTCCTCGCAACCGAGTCAGGAGTATCTCAAGCGCTACAAGAGATTGCTGAGAAAGTATCCCCTGGAGGCTGGTTGGAAGGACATTTACGATAAGGGCTGCAAAGCGTACTATTTCTATAACTCAACTACGCAGAAAGTCTCGTGGCTGCCACCATCCCATCCAAAGGCCCGCGTGACACACAGTGCAGCCGTCTTCCGCCGGCAACTGGCCAACTCCAACGACGAGTTTAACTTTGACTCCAACAATTTGCCCATCTTGCCAAAGTCTTCTGGTAACGGTGGTGGCTCCAATGAACCAAATGAACCTGATAATGCTTATACTTCATCTTATGTCCCTGCCAAGAAGCAAAAATCCAGAGACTTGGATCGAAAACTGCATCGGCGGCGACGTAATGATAATTAGAATTGTAGCTCTTAATTTTTTAAGAGTCAAAATAAATGATAAAGCTTAATAAGTATCTTTCTTCGATGTCCTCGCCGGAGTAATTTATGTTACATACCCTTTTTAGGTTTAAAAATGTACACTCTTGCTTTATTGAATTGCTAGCTTAAGACAATGAATGGTGGAGGAGCCGCCGCGAAACAATTAAATCAAAGGGAACGGATTCGGATTGGATATCAGGAATGCAATCCGGTAAAAGTAGTGTCGTACGAGTCTGGAAAAGGGTCAGATCTAATTTAGGGGCGGCAGTTAAAGCCCTCAACATGAGGATGCTCTGGGGGAATACACTTTCACCAAACGTTGTGCCATGTGTAAAGGTGTTTTAACCATGTTTTTATATATGGGTGAAAGATAAATACAAATATTCTGGTTTATTTCAAGGTTCGCTTTCCTTTAACAACAACCGGTCGGTTTCGTATGTAACCCTTGCGACGTTTCGAGTTCTGTAAAGAAAATATATGCATTAAGTTTTGAATAAAATTCAACGAATTTTTGGCCTACCTTTCTGGAGATCAAGTTGGCTGGTGGAATCGTTCTCTCCTTGGCTTTCAGTGATGGCCTGTTAAACTCGTGCGGCTTCTTAACCCTATAGATGCGCACCAGCCAGTGCTCTGTGGTATAGGCTTCCTCCAGATAGGTAAGATCAAAGTCTTTGTTGCCAATCACAGCGTTGCGAGTGCGATCATATCCAGATGGGCCTCTGCAATCATATTTTTAGTAAACAATTCTAATATTCAAGGTACTTTCCAACTTACCTATAGTCCAATTTCAGTTCCCCGAATCTGTAGTAGCTTAATTTGTACATAAGGCAGTTCAGTAAAGCTGGAGCACCCTCCGCATCCACACGGAATTCACCGCGGTCGGTGAAATAATCGCTCTCCTTGATATCCTTGGGATGCTCGCCCTCGGCGATGCGCACCATCCACAGGAACTTGTTGATGTCATCGCCCGAATACCCGATAACACCGCCAAAGATCACCAGAACATAGTCCACGTCCAGGGATGTCATGATTTCGTAGGATTTCTCCTCGGTCGAAGACATTGCCTTGCCCACCAGTGCTATATGACTATTATTCCACGTGTTGTTGTCCACTAACGTTGTTCTATTCGCCATTCCTGCTATCTGATAGCCATAATCCCACCAGGACATAACACGGGCATCGTCAGCGGTGTTCTGGGACAGCCAGTAGTAAGCCTCCCTGAAATCGTCCAATATGTTGCGGGAACTGCAAATGGAAAGGTAAGAAATCATGTGTCAAGTTTAAAGTTGACAAATCATAAAAAATAAAACTTACCCATCTTGGCTATTATGGAAAGCCAGCACAATGGAGGGACTGGAGTAGGCATTGCTGGTCACCCACGTGCAGTGAACAGCGAACATCATCAACAGCATGAGAACGGCCAAAATAACAATACTTTTCAGGTTCGAGCTGATGCCAGTGTCCTGCTGGGCATCATGTTTGGTTCGGTGCTTCAGTTTCCCGGCCTGCAAGTCCAAAGTTTGAGTTTAAGTAAGCTTATCAAGTACTTTGGCTCTATTTCACTCACCTTGTCGTACAGAGTTTTCTTTTCAATGGAATCTTCTGACTCATCCACTTCGGTGGCCGTGTGTATGGCCGTGCCAATTCGCTTCGACGAATCCTCTTGAAGGAAAACCTCCAACAGGCCCGAGAAAGCCACGCCAGCCAACATACACACAACGGGCGTAAGAGTCAGCATCAGACGAACCATAACTCCGGCAAAGTAGACCGCACTAATGGCGTACAGCACCACGAAAACACGCTCATCGTTGATTTGCTTGATGCAGTACCAGACGCCGACTGGGAAGGCGCACACCAGTATGTGCAGGTCGAAGAAGAACGAGAACCAGGTGGTGGGCTGATGCTCCGACACGGAGGCAATGATCGGGATGTGGATCTTGGCGTAGCCAGTGTCCCACAGCGAGTAGAAGCGTCCACTCCAAGGGGCCACGACGCCCAGCATCGTGAGCACCACGACGGCCACGAAGACACCTACACCCACCAGTAGGCCACCGACGATGAACAGCTTGCGGAACTCGTTACGCGACAGAACCGACTGCAAGTGACGCAAGGTTGCCACGGCCATCAGGAGAACGAACACGCCCAATGCAGCCATGTGCTCGCTGGTGCGTATGGGCTGGAATCCCACGAAGGGGATCTGCATGGAGAACAGTAGTCCCAGGATGTAGAAGGTACTGTAGCTGGTCAGCAGGCGCGGCGAATATCTGCCCATTATGAGCAGCACGAAGACATGCAGCGGGATCAGGTTGATGATGAACACGTAGCCACCCCAGGCGGAGACCATGTAGAAGTACGACAGAGCAGCTCCGGCCGACCAGAACACAGAACCGGTCTTCACGGAGCGCACCCACAGGAAGTAGGTGAACTGCAGGGCGAATATGGCAATGCCCTCATTATCGTACGATCCGGCCACCGAGCGACTGATGTAGCCGGGCACAATGGCGATGAAGCTGGCAGCAAATAGACCGGCGCCAGAGGACCACAGTTCCTTGGTCAGCAGATATGTGGAAATGGAGGTGAGACCGCTGAAAACCGGTGCGAGGAACACGCAGATGTCGCGGATGTGCACTGGGATGTTGAGTACGTGCAGAAGCCAGTGGATGCCGCCCGAGGTGATCATCAGGCCCGGGTACACGGTTCCACCGACGATGCGACCCAGCGGGTACCAGGCGCGCTCGTCGAACCAGTTGAGAAACTTGTACCAACCGTGCTCCACCATATAGGCGGTGGCCCGGTAGTTGAACCACGGATCAAACTCATGGATAATCGACTCGAAACGGATTACGGCGAACAGGCGAGAGGAAAATCCGGCCAGCCAGGCAATCAGCAGAATCGCGAACGTTATCAGGCTGCTGTAGCCAGCCACCTTGCTGTTTAGCATCTTTGGCGTCCGATTCATGTCCCTATTCCAGCCAGGTAATGTGAATATTAAAACCGATTCTGAAACTAACGACACATCTCTTCTTAGACACGTAGTCTAAAAAAATTGCCGGCTGGACTGCCAACCTACACGTAATTTTCTTATCGATATTTGCAATCGATGAAAGGGTCATCGATAGGATGGTTTTGGTGTTGGAATTTGTTATCAGGTTTGAAGTTTACTATGACTTTGTAATTTAATTAACTTTATTAGAATTAGAATCTTAAATAAATATGCGTTTCTTTTTTAATACTCCTTTATTTTCACAAATTTGTTTATTTAATTTCAATTCCAGTCGTAACACTCGTTTTGAAATGATCGGAATTGGATCAGCTCATCTCTACCGTTTAATGAACCATCGTATTCACAACAATCAACTAGTTCAGTGAACTGGTTCTAATAAATGCCCTAGAACTGGCCGAATTAAACAATAAAAATTAAAAAACCAACATGAATATTGGAAATATTAAGCGAGCGCCCAAGAAGCTAAGCGTTTCCAAGAAGCCTGCCGTCACTGTGGATTCACCCTTAGCAAAATATCCTTTACAAAACTTGAATTTAATCTAGTCACTACAAACATTTCCAGCCGACGTTTACGATACTTTTAACAAACACATTTTGTATCGTTAAATGATAATTAAGTAAATGTGGTTTATATTTGCTTCACCCAGAAGCTACACTGTTTATCTAGAACATGTTTTGCATTTAAATATCGAACAAACCCATAGAAATAACGTGGTTCTTAACGTTTTGTTTGTTTACCTTTTTGAGCCATATGAACGACTTATTAAAACTTAATCCCTTGCTGGTTTCCTTAACTAAATGTAAACGTATGACTCCTCAGGGACCTTGACTTGCATCATTTGCAGGATACCCATCAAGCCCAGCGTTTGGAAGGTGCACATCAACTCCAAGCAGCACAAACAGAATGTGGAACAGGCCAAGCAGAATAAGATTGAAAAGCTTGTGGCCACCACCACCACCAGTGCCAAGGAATCATCTGCCCCATCTTTCAAGGCTCCGCATCCTGTCGCCAAGTCTAGTACGCAACCAGATCCCACTCTGGCAGGGAACCAAGAAGGGAATCCTCAGCTTACTCCAGAGAAGGCGCCACCGCAATCAAATCCAAGTAGTAATAAGCCGCCTCCAAACGAATCTGTAGCCGAAAAATTGCCTGAGAAGTTTTTCGACGAGGACAAGACCAATAAAACCGAAGCCGCCCGACTCCAGGACGAGGAGTGGCAGCGCTTTCAGCAAGAGATTAAGAAGGCAGCCACAGAATCCAGTGTTATCGTAGCTGACGAGCAAGAGGATATTAATATCAAGCGACATATCAAGGAAATAGACGAGCAAATTGATAACTGGAAGAGGGTCATCAAAATAAATGATCAGAAAACTTTGCTTTTAAATAAGAAGAGAAAAGTTGAGGTTAAAGTAGAAATAGATCCAGAATTAAGTTCCAGCGAGGATGAATACAGTGTAGACGATTTGTACGACTGGCGAACTAAAAACTTTCACTTATAAAATATATACACTTTTAAATGTTATTTTTTGAAACCATGAACACTTGAATAATTGTAATTTAATCATTATTATTTCTAAATATATAAAATGGAAATATAAATCATGGAAAGCAAGATGTTTCAAATCAGTTTCAAGGCAACGCATTAGGTACAAGGCTTGTAATATTTAAAATTAATCATAGTTCATATTTTTATCTATACATTTTAGAGTTAATTTCATAATAAAAATGAAATAATTTGTTAAGATATAATAAAACAGCTGATATACCTAAGTCGAATGAAACTGAAACTGACCAGTTGCATGTGTGGCCACACTAGTGGACTCTTCCCACGTTTTGTATTAACGTCAAGCGATTCGTACGCTACATTACATGATCAAAATTAGTACATATTTTATGTTACATTAATTAGTTACACACTTTTATTTATTCTAGGCAGTATTTACAGAAATTTTTATTATTTATTTAGGCTGTTCTACTTTTTCTTTTAGTTAAAATCTTTACATAGTTTGTATATAGAAAAATGTATTGATTTTGTTAATTTATGCATGAAGTTCACCCTATAAAAAAATACAAAGCAAACCCATTGTTACAATGATATCTGATTCGTGTGAAAAATGAATTTAAAATATATATTACTATTGTGCACGTTGACGATGAATTATTCCAGTCTCATGTGCTTGGAATATTCAGAGGCCTTCAATGAATCTGCACTCGTGAACACCATCCATACGGGCCACAGCAAGAGAACCAGTAAATTTCTATTTGATACCATTTTTCGGATCAGTTCGGGAGTCTCGAATGCCTTCGGACTTTCGGAAGCAGAAGACGAGACAGAGTACCCAGAGAACTCCAGCCTCAAAAATTGCGATTGCGGTAAGTATAAAGAGCCAGCTTAAAGTTATTTTATCATAATATCATTTCTATAACATATATTTTCATAGATTGTGGTTTTTCGAATGAAGAAAATAGAATTGTTGGTGGAAAACCCACTGGAGTTAACCAATACCCCTGGATGGCACGAATTGTATACGATGGAAAATTCCATTGTGGCGGATCATTGTTGACCAAGGATTACGTTCTATCTGCAGCTCATTGCGTTAAAAAACTAAGAAGATCCAAAATACGAATTATATTTGGAGATCACGATCAGGAAATCACTTCGGAGTCTCAGGCCATCCAGCGAGCTGTGACATCCGTGATAAAACATAAAAGTTTTGATCCCGACACTTACAATAATGATATTGCCTTGTTGAGACTTCGAAAGCCCATTTCATTTTCGAAAATTATAAAGCCAGTGTGTCTTCCGCGGTATAATTATGATCCAGCAGGTAAAAATAATAATTTTATATTTAGTTTCTAAATTTAAGGAATTATAGATAGAATTACCTTTATAATAATTTTTAAACAAATATTTAAGGACGCATTGGAACTGTTGTGGGCTGGGGACGTACCTCCGAGGGCGGCGAGCTGCCGTCCATTGTTAATCAGGTGAAGGTGCCCATCATGTCCATCACCGAATGCAGAAATCAAAAATACAAAAGTACTCGAATTACCTCATCGATGTTATGCGCTGGCAGACCCAGCATGGACTCATGCCAGGGCGACAGTGGCGGACCGCTGTTGTTATCCAATGGAGTTAAATATTTTATCGTCGGAATTGTTTCCTGGGGCGTTGGATGTGGCCGCGATGGATATCCGGGTGTTTACTCGCGAGTAAGCAAATTTATTCCATGGATAAAATCTAATTTACAAAATACCTGCCTGTGTTCTTAGTCAATGTTGTATGGAAATACACCCGAACAAATATTTATTGATTTTAGCTTAGGTCCGTTTTAATGCCAAGTGTCTTTGTTATTTGTCCCCGGAGCAACGAAAATAAATATTAAAGTTTTATTTATTACAAAGGTTTCTTTATATTTCATGGATTGGGTTTGTCAATCAAGACGAAAAGTCCAAAAAGTCGCATCAAATATCGGTACAGGATCGTTACATCAATATTTTTATCATTTCTAGACTCCCAGTGTATTCTTTTCACAGATCTTTGTACAATCATCAGTTTTTATCATTGTTTAAAAACGTATATCTATAATTAAGTACATTTCGTTGCAAAATCTCATTTCTAAAATTTCTAATAATACTCTATGTACACTACACACTACTCTTCCCTGTACCTATTGCTAAGAACTGTATTCGCAACTTTTAAGACTTCAGTTGATATCTTTCCACAGCTAGACTCATTGACGGATTGTATTTTAAGTGCTGCATGGAGTGGCATTAGGAATTGGGTATTGGCATTTGACCCCAATTGATAATTCTCCATGGATTCGTAAATAGATTTAAAAAGTAGTTGCCTGTCGGAATGAAAATAGCCCCGATTTCCGTGAATTACCTTAACGCCGGCGTGGGACATGTTACAAATGCTCATGTACATGCAGTGATCTGGACGGTAGTTGTATTCGCATGGCATGATGTACAGCTTGTCGGGATGGAAGTAAAATAGTATGTTTATGATGTCTTGATCGCCCCAGATAATTCGCAGTTTGTACTCCTTGTGAATAGCCAAGATATGTTGCTCCCATTTCATGTCCCTCATCCGTGTGAGATTCATTAGCATAACGCCAGAGTTCACGCCGAGTCGGCCGTAGAACGGATGTCTTGCGAAGCGGTTGTACCATCCAATGTTTTCGTTCTCGTGCTCCGGGGTCAGCGCTGAGATTTGAGTCTCGTTGAACTTCTTGAAGAATCGCCATATATCCGATATAGGGGACAAGAATAAAATATCCGTGTCAACGTACAGCAATGAGTCTACGTTCGTTAGCAGAGACTTGAAGAAACAAATAGTTAAATTAGCAAAAACCCCTACATGTTAATATTTCAATTCGCACTTACCGGGAGAAACAAACGCTGAGCTGCACATGGCTTGAAGAGATTCTTCCATTCGATTTCATTGTGACTGGGAAACTTTAATGGCAGGATCTCAAAGTCAAAAGTAAACGGTTTGATGTCCCGCCAGTCTGTCAGCTTTTCCGTGAATTCATCACCCTGCCCGTTCTCAGTGAAAATTAAAAATTTTAAGTACTCCTCGTCATAGTTGAAGAGAATGGCCGATTTGATCATAACCAGAGTCTCCTGGACCCTTTGACCGCAGCAAACGACAACGATATATAGAGGAGGTTTCGATGTTTGTCTGAGGAATAAAAAAACATTTTCTTAGTACAAGTTATTAAGTTTGATAGCTTCAAAAATGTTGATGGCTTATTGATTGTTAATTGTAACGTTGACAACCGGCTTGGGTTGCCACATTTCTATGGGTTTACATATGTAGTTATACGTACGCTTCGCTAAAACCACCTGCCTCTCCCTTATAGTCGGTTACCCAAGAAGGACGCTGATGAACGAAGTAGGAAAGTATCGCTAATGCAATCAAGCACAGCAGACACATGTGGAGATGATGCTGCAATATTAAATCATATAAAAACATGTTATAAAAGTTATATATAGTTATATATAATCATTTACTTACCATTTTAAGAGTATGCAAAAGCATAGTGGCAATTTGATTATGTTTTTGGTGCTTAAAGTCGCAGATGCCATAATCTTCCGAAGCAAATAGGAATGTTTGTAAATCACTTAAGTCACTTATAATTTAACTTAAACTACATGATGCCAGAGTGCATAATATTTAAAAATATGCAAAATTGCTAAGCAAGTAGCGCAAAAAGCAGTCGTAAATATTTTGATGTTAGTCAAGGTAGCGGCGACGTGTTGTTGAGGAATGGAACGATTAAAGAAGTTGCAGTTGGAACAAAGGAAATTTGTGTTTCATTTTATTAAATTTGTTATTTATGTATTTAAATTAAGATATTAATTATGGTGTCAACATATTTTGTTTTCAAAAATACTTTCTTAGACGAATGCTTACATTACCTTTAATAAAATATGTAGAAGAACCAGTATTATCTCGACACAATGCTATTTAGTATGGTAAAAATTAAGTACTTTAAAATATTTGACAAAATATATATTATTTATACATTAGTAATAATTTGATTCGAAGATTTGGTAATTTGAAACCTAATTACAATGAATACCTATTTTCTTGCTCCATGTTTCGTTTTCGCGTTTCAAATAACATATGGCCGATAACTTATCGAAACTGCCTATCAGCGGGGGAATTGTTTTCATTTATCTTGAACCTTACACGTGCGAGCCGAATTAATAACAATTAAAAATGCTGCGTAAACAAGCCAGGCAACGCCGGGAATACTTGTATTCAAAAGCCCTCACCGAGCGCTTGAAGGCAAAACAGAAAATTCAGGAAACCGTTGTTCAGGCCTTAAATGAGAACAAGACAATTGGCTCGAAGAATGTTAAGAAAAGCATGACAGTCTACAACTCGCTGAAATATATTGATGGAGGTGAGAATTATAATGCCACACATAGCTTTCAAGCTTATTATGAGAAAAACAAATAAACGTCCCCAACTATCCTTATCTTAGGTGTCGATGATCGCACTGTCAATGATGAGTACCATTATGCTGGATGCGAGGATCCGAAAATAATGCTGACCACCTCGCACAACCCCTCGTCCAGATTGAAGATGTTTATGAAGGAGCTGCGTTTGATCTTTCCCAATGCCCAGCAGATGAACAGAGGCAACTACCAGCTGCCGACACTAATGCACGCCTGTCGTGCCAATAATGTAACCGATTTCCTAATTGTGCATGAGCACCGGGGCATTCCGGACAGCCTTGTGGTTTGCCATCTTCCCTACGGGCCAACTGCCTTCTTCAACATATCCGATGTCATTATGCGTCATGACATTCCCGATATTGGCCACATGAGTGAGCAGAAGCCGCATTTAATTTTTAATAACTTCAAAACGCCTATCGGCCTGAGAACGGTGAAGATCCTGAAGCACTTGTTTCCCGTCCCGAAGGAGAACTCCCAGAGAGTCATGTCATTCTTAAACCACAATGACTCGATCATATTCAGGCATCATCAGTACAAATATAAAAACAAAGAACTGGAGCTCAGCGAGGTGGGGCCTAGGTTCGTCCTGAAACTGTATCAAATCAAGCTGGGCACGCTGGAGAATATTAAGGCGGCTGACACTGAATGGATTAACCGTCCCTATATGAACACCTCACAGAAGAAGCTTATTTTTTCCAATGATCCTGGATTGACGAGTAGGGGCGAAGACGTTTAAGAATATTTCACTGGGGCAATTTAAAAAAATAAAACAAAATTATGCATAGAAAATAAATTAATCCGTTGCCTTTTTAAACCTCTGCTGGGTATTATAATTTCAGTCAGATAAAGTATATATGTATATTCTTGATCAGTATTAGTTTATATGATCAGTAATTAACGATGAGCAGTAATTACCTCTGTATGATTAGTCAGTATGTATGAGCAGTAAGTATCTAAGACCAGTAAGTAACTATGATCAGTAAATATCTATGACCAGTAAGTATGTATGATCAGTAAGTATCAATGAGCAGCAATTAACTTTGACCAGGAAGTCAGATCAGAGAATCATATGCACAGATGAGTGAGATTTGTTTTGGAACACATTTAAGAGAGCTATTTGAATACAACTATGGAGTTATTCCTCTACATAATTGTACTGGTATATAAGTCGGAGCATGGCGAATCGATGGACTATATATATACATATATATAACTGCCATAGGAACAATCGGACGATTTAAAGAACCATGATCATTAAGTAACTATGAGCAGTGAGTAACTCTGAACAGTGAGTAACTCTGAACAGTAAGTATCTATGAACAGCAAGTAACTCTGAACAGTAAGTATCTATGACCAGCAAGCAACTATGATCAGTAAGTATGTATAACCAGTATATATGAATGATCAGTTACTAACTTTGAACACTAGTAAACAATGACTTGCAACTTTTGTAACACAGCACATTTCTGAGACATGGCTGGCAGCAGTCACTTCGTTCCGGGGATGTTAAAACCAGTTGGGAATCGTATGCACAGATGTGCGAGATTGTTTTGGAACACATTTAAGAGAAAGCTTTTTGAATGAAACTATGGAGTTATTTTTCTATATAATTTTACTGCTGTATAAGTCGGAGCATGGAGAATCGGTGGACTTTATATATACATATATATAGCTGGCATAGGAACAATCGGACGGTTTATAGAAGTTTTATCAGTAATTAACTCTGAACAGTAAGTATCTATGACCAGTAAGTAACTATGACCAGTAAGTATCTATGATCAGTAAGTATCTATGAGCAGTAATTAAGTTTGGCCATTAAGTATTTATGAACAGTAAGTAAATCTGAACAGTAAGTATCTATGATCAATAAGTAACTATGACCAGTAAGTATCTATAACCGGTAAGTAAGATTATCAGTTACAAATTTTAAACACTTATAAACAATGACTTGCAACTTTTGTAACACAACACATATCTGAGACTTGGCCGGCAGCAGTCACTTCGTTCCGGGGATGTTAAAACCAGTTGGGAATCATATGCACAGATGTGCGAGATTGTTTTGGAACACATTTAAGAGAAAGCTATTTGAATGAAACTATGGAGTTCTTTTTCTATTTTCTATATAATTTTACTGGTGTATAAGTCGGAGCATGGCGAATCGGTGGACTATATATATGCATATATATATATATATATATCTGACATAGGAACAATCGGACGATTTCTAAAACATTGATCAGCAATTAACTCTGAACATTAAGTATCTATGACCAGTAAGTAACTATGATCAGTAAGTATCAATGAGCAGCAATTAACTTTGACCAGGAAGTATTTATGGATAGTAAGTAAATCTGAACAGTAAGTATCTATGACCAGTAAGTAACTATGATCAGTAAGTATCAATGAGCAGCAATTAACTTTGACCAGTAAGTAACTATGATCAGTAAGTATCAATGACCAGCCATTAACTTTGACCAGGAAGTATTTATGGACAGTAAGTAAATCTGAACAGTAAGTATCTATGACCAGAAAGTAACTACATATATCAGTAAGTATCTAAAAGTATAAAAATATCTAGGTATCTAAAGGGGACCATGGCAATAAACAAATAAATTGGACCTAGGCCTGATCCCATCACCAGCTTCATACATAATATAAATGGTTAAGACTTACCGCAGTAAATGACACGTCATTGCTTACTTCCTTCAAGTGTAGTAACCAAGAATCCAAGAGAGCTTCCTCCTAGTCATCCAGATGTTTTGGATTGTCCACGTCATATTTTTGAGGCCGAAGGATGATCACTTGCACTATCACTGTCGATGTGAACACTAGGTACCCCTAGGACAGACTGAGGCGCGCGCGACCTCAGCGCCTCTATTTATAGTTCCCGAGGAAAGAGAAGAGAAGAGAAAGTGAGTGTGAGTGCGCGGGAGAGGAGTTGCCTCTAGAGATGAACATAAAGCGATAGACATAGAGAAAGAGGGGGAGAGGCACCGAACCGTAAGTAACTCTGAACAGTAAGTATCTTTGATCAGTATGTAAATATGATCTGTAAGTATCTATGACCAGTAAGTATGTAAGAGCAGCTACTAACTTTGAACACTAATAAACAATGACTTGCAACTTTTGTAACAACACATTTCTGAGAATCATATGTACAGATGTGGGAGATTTGTTTTGGAACATTGTTTTGGATTTGAATCCAACTATGGAGTTATTCTTCAATATAATTTTACTGGTATATAATTTAGAGCATGGCGAATCGGTGGACTATATATAAACATATATATATATATATCTGACATAGGAACAATCGGACGATTTCTAAAACATTGATCAGTAATTAACTCTAAACAGTAAGTATCTATGACCAGTAAGTAACTATGATCAGTAAGTATCAATGAGCAGCCATTAACTTTGACCAGGAAGTATTTATGGACAGTAAGTAAATCTGAACAGTAAGTATCTATGACCAGTCAGTAACTATGATCAGTAAGTATCAATGAGCAGGAATTAACTTTGACCAGGAAGTATTTATGGACAGTAAGTAAATCTGAACAGTAAGTAAATCTGAACACTAAGTATCTATGACCAGCAATTAACTTTGACCAGTAAGTAACTATGATCAGTAAGTATCAATGAGTAGCAATTAACTTTGACCAGGAAGTATTTATGGACAGTAAGTAAATCTGAACAGTAAGTATCTATGACCAGTAACTAACTATATCAGTAAGTATCTAAAAGTATAAAAGTATCTAGGTATCTAAAGGGGACCATGGCAATAAACAAATAAATTGGACCTAGGCCTGATCCCATCACCAGCTTCATACATAATATAAATGGTTAAGACTTACCGCAGTAAAGGACACGTCATTGCTTACTTCCTTCCAGTGTAGTAACCAAGAATCCAAGAGAGCTTCCTCCTAGTCATCCAGATGTTTTGCATTGGGCACGTCATATTTTTGAGGCCGAAGGATGATCACTTGCACTATCACTGTCGATGTGAACACTAGGTACCCCTAGGACAGACTGAGGCGCGCGCGACCTCAGCGCCTCTATTTATAGTTCCCGAGGAAAGAGAAGAGAAGAGAAAGTGAGTGTGAGTGCGCGGGAGAGGAGTTGCCTCTAGAGATGAACATAAAGCGATAGACATAGAGAAAGAGGGGGAGAGGCACCGAACCGTAAGTAACTCTGAACAGTAAGTATCTTTGATCAGTATGTAAATATGATCTGTAAGTATCTATGACCAGTAAGTATGTAAGAGCAGTTACTAACTTTGAACACTAATAAACAATGACTTGCAACTTTTGTAACAACACATTTCTGAGAATCATATGTACAGATGTGGGAGATTTGTTTTGGAACATTGTTTTGGATATGAATCCAACTATGGAGTTATTCTTCAATATAATTTTACTGGTATATAATTTAGAGCATGGCGAATCGGTGGACTATATATAAACATATATAAAGCTGACATCGGAACAACCGGCGATTTATAGAACTATGATCAGTAATTAACTCTGAACAGTAAATATCTATGACCAGTAAGTAACTATGATCAGTAAATATCTAAGACCAGTAAGTATCAATGATCAATTTTATGAAAATCGGACTACTATATCATATAGCTGGCATACAAAAATTGTTTAAAATAGAGGAAGATGCAAAACTTTGAATATCAAACTGTAAATATAAAAGAAATTAACTAAAAGCAGCCATTATTTTATTATTTGTAACAAAAATATATATAATTTATATTGTATTAGTTCCTAATGATTGAGTTTCAATCTGTAAGTTAGTTAAGAAGTTTGCTTCCTTTTTGATTTATTTTTAAGAGCCGGTTGGGAAAATTTCATGCATTTGTCCTCTTATATATTTAAGTCGAGTTTTATCCAACCCGAGGTCTAGTTGGCTTAGTTTAGACTTAAAAGTGTATAAAGAAACGATTTCAAATTTTCGTAATGCAAAGATAATTTTCTTTTCATTATTTTTTGGTTGTGTTAAAATGATAAGATCAAAGCGGAAAGATTACTCAATTTTCGAGTTTTATTATACACGACACTCCTTGAGAAATGTGGCAGTATGGAGAGCCAGTTTTGTAATTCCCCGATATAAAATCAACGAAACTAAAAGAGTTTACACCAATGCATTGCAATTCATACAATTGCAATGAATACAATTATTTTCGGATATAAAGAAATGTCTAATTATGGAAAGATGTTAGTGTCGAACACGAGTATAAAACTTAACAAGTCAACCAGTTTGGAAAGATTATTTCCGGTTGTTGAAATCAATATATAATTCACATGAAATTACCTTTACATTAGTTTTGCAAACTTATTTAAAAAAAAACTTAACTTACAATAGTACTCATAAACGTACTACACTTATAGTGTAAATGTTCACTCTGTACTTTATAAATACATCCGATGATTAAAGTATATATATTTATAAATATAACAAGAGAAAAACTTAATTTTGTATATTACTTAAAATTAATATTAAGTAATAGGGTCAATGACAATAAGTGAATTAATTTTCAAGTAAAAGTATAGTGAGTTTCTTGTTTGATATCAAGATACATTGGATTGGCCAGGTAATACATTTGAGCTCGAAGGGCAATCACTATCACTCCCACTATCACTATAGATGTAAACAGTATGGAGGCCGTGGACAGAAAGAGGCCGGAGCGGCGGCCTATGCCTGTATTTATAGTCACCGAGTAAAGAGAGAGCAGAGAAAGTGAGAGCCGCAGAGAAACATTTCTCGAGAGACAGGCAGAAAGAGTTA